TCTTACTCTTCCCTTTCCTTTACCTTTCTTCCACATGGCACCTATGTCCATTGGTGTTTGAGTGTCGCTTTTCACAACATGACGCGATTGGTAGTAGTCCAGTATCACATTCCTAACAGTGTCATACGTATCCAGTGTCCTCACGTTCAGTCTGAGGTGTTGTTGCAGTGATCCCGACGTCTTGTTCAACAGTGTTGCTACCAGCATGCTGTCCGGCAGGGCAGTTCCAGTTTGACGTTCGTACCTGTTCTTCAGTTGTTCCCATTCAGTATAGTCCCGTTCAAAGTGTTCAGTCCTGAATCGAAACTCAAGCACCTTGGTCAAGAGACTAATGTTGTTTGCAGTACTTGGAAGCGCAAACCTACGTGACAGTAAGCGCCAAGTCTCAAACCCGTTCAGTCTCAAGTTACCTCGAACTACCAGTCTAGCACTATTCTTAGTGATCAGGCTGAGCAAGTAGTGCAGCTGTCTACTAAAAGCTATGAGGCCAGTGAGTTCAACTGCATTGTCTTCTATAGTCTGTACAGCGTCATCAGTGATGACCGAAGTGGCTTCCTCAGCAGCATCCATGACTCTCAGTACATGTTCTTTGAACATAGAAACGTAGCTTCTCACATGCCATGACCAGTCTTCCCATCTCTCCATAGTTCCATCGAAACTTTCAGGTAGTGGGAGTCGTGAGTTTCCACCTAGAGTCCCACTGTCTCCAAAGGTCGCCATTTCCTACTGTGAGTTGCAGTGTGGTACAGTTCTACTCTTCCACTGCCAAAGTCTTCAAGCACAGTAGGAGCCAGGTAGCTCCGCTACCATGCGAAGCGTCAAGTTCACTTTCAAGTCCACCAAACAGTGCAGTATCAATCAGCTTCTAGCTTTCACTCACGCCAGTCTATCAGAAGCAGTACAACGTCTCACAGCGTCAGTTGAGTTCCTAGTGCCTTGAGCCAGGCTTGAGCCAAACCATAGTTTGGCAGTGCAGTAGATTCAGTGTACTGTGCAGTGGAGTGCAGAGTGACAGTCATATCTAACACAAACAAACAAACAAACAAACAAACAAAAAAACACACACACAAACAAACAAACAAACACACAAACAAACAAACAAACAACCAACCAACCAACCAACCAACCAACCCTCCCAGAAGTGGGAAACACTGTTGGGTATCAAAATTTATTTTTTAGTGATTATTTAGTATTTCTCTAGCGTTTGGGATTAGCGTTTATTTTGTTAACGTTTTGGCTTTCCATTTTTTGTCCACAGATTCAAGGTGATTGCGGTTTGGTTTGCTCAGTTCCTTGTGTTGTGTCCACCGTTTTGCTCACAAGCAGAGGCAAGTTGCTTGGGGAACGCTGAAAGAAAACTTGTTGTCAATCTTTGGGTTTGGGTGTGGGTTCTGACAAATATTGGAACTACCCTACTCATACTGGAACCCATCATAGAAAGTACTTCAAAATTGAAAGGAAAATATAGATTTCTAAGTTCACAGTTCAGGCAAGGGGCCCTGTTGGAATGTATGACAATGTGTGAGTTTAAGTTTAAGTCAAGAAAGGATGGTCAGTAAATACTTTTCGTCTGCTTAGCCAAGCTTCAATATTTATGTTGTTCGATATCTGGAACCCTCTAGACTCTAGACTGTATCCCAAAGGTTTTAGAAAATTCGACAACTTTAGAATCTCTAACTCTTAGTTAAAAATATTTAGAATGAAAGGTGTTCTGTTACTGAACTTGAGTCATTGCTGCATTGCTACTACTGAGCTGCTACTGGATGAAACAATTGCTGGGCTGGTCAACCAATCATGATGGTACTGACTCTGTTTCTGACCGATGTGCAACTTGGGTGCATCATCAAAATCAAGGAACAGGAACGACTGTGAAACCAAAAGGATTCAGAAAGGCCGAATGCCGCCTGAACAAACACAGCATCATGATTCCAAAAGCCCACGCAAACGCTATTTCGAAACGCTATTTCGAAACGCTAGAAAAACGCTAGAAAAACACTTTTCTAGCGTTTTTGGAGCAAGTTACCTTAGGAACCCGAGAAAAACGCTAGAAAAACGCTAAACAAATGCTGAAACTCGAGGTTTTAGCGTTTTTCTAGCGTTTTTGGAGCAAGTTACCTTAGCACCCGAGAAAAACGCTAGAAAAACACTAAAACTCGCCTAGAGGATCCAACGATCCATAAAAGGCAACTTTATCTTCAAACAACATTGTTTTCAATATAACGATGCCATTGGCAAAAACGATGCCTTTTGCAGAAGGCATCTGGTAATGCAAGTTGCCCAGCAAAATTGTCTTTGAATCATGGACATAGAGATCTTTGTTTCAAACCTTCAACATGGCATGCAGAATATTCATTAATCTGCGCAAAAGCATGCAAATATATAACATGATAAACTGCACAAAGAGACGCAATGTCTCAAAACTGTACACAAATATGCACAAAAAAACATACCTGTACAAAAACTTAACCTGTACAAAAAAAAAATCTCTCTCAAAACTGTACAATAAGTATGTACAAAAAAACATACCTGTACAAAAACTTAACCTGTGCAAAAAAAAATCTCTCTCAAAACTGTACAAAAAGTATGTACAAAAAAAACTGTACAAGACACATACCTGTACAAAAAATTAACCTGTGCAAAAAATGTCTCAAAACTGTACACAAAAATATGTGTAAAAAAACTTGTACAAATCGCCTGTACAAAAACTTAACCGTTACAAAAAAGTAATCTGCACAAAAATCTGTACAAATAATGACGGTCAAGGCTTGGTCTCTGACGTTGCTCTAATGAAAGCTGCAAGTCAAGCGACTGGAAGCCAGACGGATTCTGACGAAAGATGCCTTTGCTTGCATCTTTCCCTGCAGAGCAAAAAGCTGTGAAGAAAAAAATGTCACATCTAAACAGCTTGCACCTCGTTCTTGAAGCGCTGATCGTCACTGAAACATCCCCAACATGGAGGACGTCTCATCGCGACTGGTCTGGCTCAAGTCCACACATTGGTTTCCTGACATTAAACTGGAAAATTTTACCAATAAAAGAACCATCCATAATAATGGTCCATATGGCTCTATACATAAAACTGTAAAACGATGGTTTCCAACAGAAGCGCTTCAGGGTTTCCAACCGAAAGGGTTTCCATGGACACATGGTTATAATATATAAAGATATATATATATAGATAGATAGATATATATAGATATATATATATATATATCTATCTATCTATCTATAAATATATATATATTTAGATATATATATATATATACATCTAGGTCGATAATATTGTTAATTTTTACTTGCACCTTTGGTTTACCAGAGAGCGCTCAATTTACGCTTTGTCGTGGTTTTAGGGTTTAAAAGAGAGCGCTCCAACGAGCACGTTTTAGGGTTTGTCGTTTTGCTAGTCAGTATGCATATATATATATATATATGTATATAGATATAGAGTTTGTCAAAAAGCGATCATAGAAAACCTTAAACAGATTTTTCGTGGTTTTTGAAAAATCAAAGATGCAGACAGCTCAAACGAGCACGTTCTAGGGTTTGTCGTGGTTTTAGGGAGAGCGCTCAAACGAGCACGTTTTGGGGTTTGTCGTTGTTTTAGGGTTTAAAAGAGAGCGCTCAAACGAGCACGTTCTAGGGTTTGTCGTGGCTTTAGGGTTTAAAAGAGAGCTCTAGGAGCACGATCTAGGGTTTGTGTTTGTCATGGTTTTAAGGTTTGCAATCTCGAGAATGGATTGTCGTGGCTTTAGGGTTTAAAAGAGAGCGCTCCAACGAGCATCTTTTAGGGTTTGTCGTTTTTCTAGTATGCAATTGCTATATATAGAGTTTGTCAAGAAAGCGATCGAGAGAAAAGTATACATATATATATATATGTGTGTGTGGATTTCTCGTGGTTTATGAAAAGAAAAGATGCAGACAGCTCAAATGAGCACGTTCTAGGGTTTGTCGTGGTTTTAGGGTTTACAAGAGAGCCCTCAAACGAGCACGTTTTGGGGTTTGTCGTTGTTTTAGGGTTTAAAAGAGAGCGCTAAAACGAGCACGTTCTAGGGTTTCTCGTGGCTTTAGGGTTAAAAAGAAAGCGCTCAAACGAGCATGTTTTGGGGTTTGCCGTTTTTTGGACGCAAACTATATCTACAACCATGTATCTAATTTAATTGTTTACATGGAAAGGGTATCACACAATGACAGGTTACCCGTGCATCTATCTTCCCAACTTTTGTTTGATGTAGTTCGACTTCAGAGACATTAGTTGGAAAATGGCAATCCCTAAAAAATATCTTTTACCCCAAACGCACGATGCTTTCTCCACTTGGCATCTCGGGTGTATATATTACTTTGGGGGGCGTGGTTTGGTGTATATCATGGAATTTCGGAGCTGCAGCACCCCAAATATAACAGTTCTCAAAACATTAGCCTATCTTGCCACATGTCAAGATGAAATGAAATGTTTATGTTTTCGATATTTGGCATATAGCATTGGGCATTCTTCTTCCCAAAAGAGAATGTGAAAGATAAACGAATTGACCCTGTTTTTTTGGGCTATGCATCCAGCTTGCAACATTGCTCGCCATCGTTCGCTCGCACAGCAGTTACTTATTTTGGGGGTGGTATTTTCCAAGGTGGCACCCTTTAGGTATAAGTTAGATTGCAACATACCATCTAACAATAACTATAAACACCATAAGCCCATATTTTCGAGGTTTAAACCCACCGAAGTATGAGGGGAAAAACAGGACCCCGAATCACAGACACACACGCATCAGCAGCATTCTCGCTCCATGGCCTCCACGGTGTGTCTCCAAGGAGCGGTGAGCTTGGGAATCACCCCCGCAAACTCTCCCCAACTGAAAACATGTTCCCTGAACCAAGCACGTATCGCATTTACACGTGATTTCTTGTGAACATGATTTTGAATTGGAAGGACATGTTTTGAAACTTTTTGTCCATCAAATTTTTCTTCTTGGACATCAGGTTCAGGGAATGGGCCCCGTGTGAAACTACAAGCCACTTTCTAACTTGGATTGCCTTCGAACCATCATTGCAAGGCAAAGGAGGTATCTTTCATAAAACCTCTTGTTGACAGTCGCTCCATGGCATGCGCAAAAAATAGTTTTGCACTTGCCAAGGAAGCTTTCCTCTGCAAAAGTAGTGAACGCCCATACGTTCAACTGCTGGTATTTAATTTGCATGGCTTGGTGATACACATAATGGTGCTTGGGGCGCAGCTTAAACAACATGATATGGCTGGAGTAAAAGCAGGCTCCCAACCAGGCATAAGTCTTGCAATGCAAAACCAACAACTCTGATGCCTTCAAGGCGTCAGGTTTACTGAGAATCAGCCCGCTGCCATCCAAAATTTCAGTGCAGCGCTGCAAACCATAGGAGCACGTGGCGAGCACCTGCATGATGCGGTCCTCAGCAGGCTGGTCGATGGGACAGTTTCTCCAACCAAAATTCTGGGCCCCAAAGGATTGCGATAAGCTGGAAGGTTTGTGAGGTGAAAATAGAATAGATTTCACCCGCAAAATGCTAAACTGCTGTGGGCCCCATACCAAATGTCACATCATAAACAAAAGAGATACCATGGAGTGAACTAATCAGAAGACTAGGGCACATCGGGTCGAGAATCTGCACATCTCTGGGTTGTCATTGCACACCACCATACCAGCGTTTTTATGTGACTAGCCTTATATCTCGTGGACAGCTCTGCATAATCTTGTGTTCCACCAAGACTTGCTTCAGTGAGAACCGGTTTTCGTGGCAGATACAGCCTGCAACTGTATTGGGGAAATATGAGAAAAGATATTGTTTTGGACATTTTCGGACATAACTTTGGGGAACATAACCATAGCAAACCAATGCTTGTGCCTGCAAAGAACCCGTTTTCTTTACATCTTTGGATCATGTCATTCTGAACAGCATCCAAACTTTCAAACCAATCAGCGGAGAGCAAGCAGCGCACAGCACTTGCAACGAGGTCACAGGCAGTACCCAGGTACACGTTGTGCATGAAATCATACATGACTGTTTCCACCCGCCATCCTGGTATGCAAGCCCAGTCAGAAATTTTGGTGTCCAGGGCGACGTATGCCTCATGGCTGATGGTTGTATATTCCCAGCCCCGTTCGAAGAAGTTCTTGTAGTTCATGAACTCGTCGCAATTTGCCCCTTGTTGTGCAAGGCAACTGTCACACATCCTCAGAACTACTTAGGGGCCAAAAAGGAAAGTGTCAGAATTCATGGGGGATCCAACCTATGTCACAATTAAAAACAGGATTGACAAATCAAGATATCAAAGAGTCAAATCGCAATTGTAGGCACGTTCAAAATTGTGCATGGCTTTTCGGGCCTTCAGATCGGCCTTGCTCGCAAAATAGCAAGCCCTTAGTTCTGCCAGAATCTGGTTTTATAGAAAGTATCCTATCTCATACACATTGGGGTTTGGGCCAACAAGAGTGCAACAAGAGTGCAACAACTTACCATAAACATATAAAATACAACTTCCAACGGAAAATAAATTAGTATATATATGACATGGCTCTTCCACCCATTGGCCAGTTTGGCTCCTGCCCTTTTTGCCCGGTCAGAGTCCTTAGCAAAGGGCTCACCTTTGAATCCTGCCGTAGGTGCAATTCCAGACGTCGCTATGCCAATGGACCAGGCGGCAAGCTGGGCCAGGGTCCTGTTGACTTCTGCCCTCACCTTGGAAATGAAGGGGTGATTTTGGATTGATAAATATATGCATGCATGCATGCAGCATGCATACATGTATGCATATGTATATGTATATGTATATGTATTTGTGTATGTGTATGTGTATGTATATGTATATGTATATGCATACATGTATACATGTATACATGTATGTATATGTAAATGTATATGTATTTGTGTATGTGTATGTGTATGTATATGTATACGTAAAGGTATATGTATATGTATATGTATATGTATACATGTATGTATTACAAGTATACATAAACATATGTACATATGGTACAGATTTGGGTGTTGCTGTTTACAGGGTCCCCACTGTTATCTCACATAGGGTAGGTTACTAATCATGACAAGGGGCTGCATCACTGCGCATGAAGCGCTCAGGTATTAATGCGAATGGGAACTTGTACAGAAGAACATCAGTTATCATTCCAGTCCCACCAAAAGCACTTGCAATGCTCCAGACAAACACTTCATCATCTGTGTACATCTCTGCGCCGTCCCCATGAAGTGTCAAAGGAATAAGATCTTGCAGGGGCACACCGTTGTTTTCATCTAAAGCAGGATGCGACGCCCACGGTTTTAGTCTTCGAACGTGGTTCCAAAACTTCAATCGCGAACCAGAATCGGTATTCCCAAGCATCAAACTACTAAAGACACCAGGGTGGTCAGCCAGAGATTCCAAGATCTCATGTGGGAGCAAGACCCTGATTGTAGTAGGCTTCGGTTTCGTGCCATCAACCTGGGCGTACAACATTTTAACCCCAGAAACATTGAATACCGTGGTTGATGCCATCTTTGGGAAATAGAAAGGTTGGAAATGCCAAGGCTGAAGAATATATTGACATTTTGCACTGATGTTCAGGGTTGGACAAAGTTGGTAACATTGCCATTTTTGGATGGAATAAAGATTAGAAATGCCGGGGTTCAAAAATCAAACATTTGAAACATAATCATGAAATCAAAACTGACAACATATTTGTCTCAAACCAAGGATCTTGTAAGGGAACTTGGATACTGTATGGTCTCAAACGGAATCCAAATAACCTTTTGATCCATCGGTGGAGATCCCTTTCCCCATTCATTGGGAAATCGTTGTTGGTCCCTAAAGTACTGAAAGCTTGAACTGCTTTGTGTGGAATCCCATCAGCCACCATGCTACCAGAAAGGGCAATGGCACCAGAGACCGAAATCTGCCCCTTCCCAATCATATCGACCAAATGGTCCACGGTTTTGGAATCTTCGTAGGTTTCAAAATGCTGCCGTTTCCTGCATGGGAAGGTTCATGGATATAAATAAGAAGATGATCAGATACTCTTTGAAAATCACAATTTTTTGGTGCCAATCTCAACCAACAAATGAAAACCAAAACGCAATTTATGCATACAATATTATAAATAAATAAATAAATATATATATATATCTCTCTCTCTCTCTCACCTTTGTTTTTGGTGGTGACCGCCCACAAAAAGATCGAAAAGACAGTCAGGGCAAACACCGACTGGCGTTGCACAGGTTTCCCAGCGGATCCTGGATGAAGACCCAGCACCTGGCAGCTTTGGTGATAGGCACCAGGTTTGACACCCCTTGGGCGATGTCACCCCAAAATCCATTGGTGTAGAATTCATGTGGGCATTCCAAACTGAAATAAATGGCACCATGTCCCAAAGAAAAAATAAGCCCTTGGATTTTGTAGTATTTCTATTTGTTTTGTTGGTAAACCATTTGAATCATTTGAGTTTTGGAATGCCCAAATTCATGAATTGGAAAAATGGTAGGCCCCTGGGTTTTATTTCCACTCTCGTTGGTAGGGAATAAAAATAGTGTAATAAGAAACCCAACTTTGTGGCACTGTTTTGGGGCTGACCCCAAAAGTTTCATGAATGATTTTCAACTTGTGGGGGTAGTGGCAATCACGGTATGGTGGATGGTTGGTGAGGCCACGGGGGTTCGAAGGAGTCTGATTTCAGTAGAGCATCATGATAAGCCGTTGGATTTGATATATGGTGATTGGGAAAAACGATGAACAACATTGATTTTAGGGGATGCCAATTCTAAATGAAACAATTTTTTTCCAAGAAGAAGGGGTACTGTCCCAATATCTTTCTTCTATTCGTTTGGACTGGGGAGATGTTTTGAATTGGTGGAATAAAAGACTAATTGTATCATTTCGTTGGCTTTGTTTAATATGTATTCCCCATCGCCATAAGATATGATAGCTTTGGATGGTTCCCATATGGTTCCCTTTGTTTGAGTTCCCTTTGGTTGGATAGTTCCCCATGACAATTCCTTTAATTCGTGGCCAGCGGTCACATTGGATTTTTCTTGCCAGATTCATCGAACATCCTGCTGCTGGAGCAGAATCGGAAGGCCCGCTTGCTTGACAGGGTGGAAGGGCACTGCAAACTGAAAACAAAATATGACCTTTTTTTTTCGGTCTGGATGTGTGCATTCAACCAGGGACCCTTCACCGCCTAAGCCCTGCAAGACAGATTGACATCTTTCTCATTGATATCTACATTGCACACAATGTTGACAAAAGTTTGCATTTCGTTGGGAATCCAAATCAAAATTCAGCTGCGGCATTGCTGTGTCAGCCAAAGATCCCTGGAGCCACTCACTTCTTTGCCTTCTTGGGCCCTTTCCTGGTCTTTCCTTTCTTATTGTTCGCCGACAGGAATGCGTCGGCTGCTGCCTCCAGAACAGAAGGCAAGCTGATACCAATGGGAAGTACGGTGGGTATAACACCTTTGAAAATAAAAGGATGGCCATGGAGATGAATTACATACCCTGAATATTGACTTCTTTGTTGATCAAATTGGCACCGCCCATACCCATTCAAATAAACATTTGAAGAAGGCAGTGGAGCCTTCAACTTCTTTCCCGTGATGGATTTCTCCTCGATCTTGCGACATAACACCTTGAACTCCTTCTCCGTCGCGTTGTCCTTCTTGATGGTAGTTTGGATGTCTGAGTAAAGATTCTCAGTCGCGTTGGCGAAGTCAAGCATGGTAGCTGCAAGCTGTTCTGCAAAATCCAAACCTTTCAAGGTAATAGATCTGGTCCTGGAGACTGCAGCTGCATTGAGCAGCTCATCCATGCTTGACAGCGCCTTCTCCTTGTAGGTGAGTGGCTCCACAGGCTTCGAGGTATCTTCGGTCTCAGGCTCGGGTCGCTTCTTGGGAGCGGCGGTCACCTGCAGGCTAGAGAGGTAAGACCCCAGAATGGCAATTGGGTGACCAGTGAAAAAGACATAGTTTTTCCCCACATCTTTGTGTGGGGTTCTTGTTTTTGATTCTGTATCCCGGGCTCCTCCTCCGCCTTCTCCTCCTCCGCCCTCCTCCACACTTTGTCACCACACACTTGTCCACACACACTTTGTCACCACACACTTTGTCACCACACATTGTCAACACACACTTTGTCCACACACACTTTGTCACCACACACTTTGTCACCACACATTGTCAACACACACTTTGTCAACACACACTTTGTCACCAAACACTTTGTCCACACACACTTTGTCCACACACACTTTGTCCACACACACTTTGTCACCACACACTTTGTCCACACACACTTTGTCACCAAACACTTTGTCCACACACACTTTGTCCACACACACTTTGTCACCACACACTTTGTGAACACACTTTATCAACACACACTTTGTCAACACACACTTTGTCACCAAACACTTTGTCCACACACACTTTGTCCACACACACTTTGTCACCACACACTTTGTCCACACACACTTTGTCACCAAACACTTTGTCCACACACACTTTGTCCACACACACTTTGTCACCACACACTTTGTCCACACACACTTTGTCACCAAACACTTTGTCCACACACACTTTGTCCACACCTTCGTTTCATGTGGCAGGCGTGGCACAAACTCACATCCACCGTCGTTTTGTGTGGCAGGCGTGGCACTTATGGTACTGGGTGGCGCCCTTGGGCCGGGATTTGGCGCCCCGGGCGCCGCGCCACTTTGCGTGGCAGGCGTGGCACAACCTGACATCCACCTTCGTTTCACGTGGCAGGCGTGGCACAACCTGACATCCACCTTCGTTTTGCGTGGCAGGCGTGGGACAGATGGCACTGGGTGGCGCGCTTGGTCCGGATTTGTCGCCCGGGGCGCCGCGCCACTTTGCGTGGCAGGCGTGGCACTTGGTGACATCCACCTTCGTTTCACGTGGCAGACGTGGCACAAACTCACATCCACCGTCGTTTTGCGTGGCAGGCGTGGCACTCATGGTACTGTGTGGCGCGCTTGGTCCGGATTTGTCGCCCGGGGCGCCGCGCCACTTTGCGTGGCAGGCGTGGCACTTGGTGACATCCACCTTCGTTTCATGTGGCAGGCGTGGCACAAACTCACATCCACCGTCGTTTTGTGTGGCAGGCGTGGCACTCATGGTACTGTGTGGCGCGCTTGGTCCGGATTTGTCGCCCGGGGCGCCGCGCCACTTTGCGTGGCAGGCGTGGCACTTGGTGACATCCACCTTCGTTTCACGTGGCAGGCGTGGCACAAACTCACATCCACCGTCGTTTTGCGTGGCAGGCGTGGCACTCATGGTACTGTGTGGCGCGCTTGGTCCGGATTTGTCGCCCGGGGCGCCGCGCCACTTTGCGTGGCAGGCGTGGCACAACCTGACATCCACCTTCGTTTCACGTGGCAGACGTGGCACAACCTGACATCCACCTTCGTTTTGCGTGGCAGGCGTGGGACAGATGGCACTGGATGGCGCGCTTGGTCCGGATTTGTCGCCCGGGGCGCCGCGCCACTTTGCGTGGCAGGCGTGGCACTTGGTGACATCCACCTTCGTTTCACGTGGCAGACGTGGCACAACCTGACATCCACCGTCGTTTTGCGTGGCAGGCGTGGCACTCATGGTACTGTGTGGCGCGCTTGGTCCGGATTTGTCGCCCGGGGCGCCGCGTCACTTTGCGTGGCAGGCGTGGCACTTGGTGACATCCACCTTCGTTTCACGTGGCAGACGTGGCACAAACTCACATCCACCATCGTTTTGCGTGGCAGGCGTGACACTCATGGTACTGTGTGGCGCGCTTGGTCCGGATTTGTCGCCCGGGGCGCCGCGCCACTTTGCGTGGCAGGCGTGGCACTTGGTGACATCCACCTTCGTTTCACGTGGCAGGCGTGGCACAAACTCACATCCACTGTCGTTTTGCGTGGCAGGCGTTTCACGTGGCAGGCCACAAACTCACATCCACTGTCGTTTTGCGTGGCAGGCGTGGCACCAGCTTTGACACACCCTCTTTCACACACCACTTTGTCACACACCATCTTTCGCACACCATCTTTCACACCCAACTTTGTCACCCACCATCTTTCACGCACCATCTTTCACACACCACATTGTCACCCACCATCTTTGACACACCCTCTTTTACACACCATCTTTGTAACACACCATCTTTCAGACACCATCTTTTACACCCAACTTTGTCAAACAGCATCTTTGACACACCAAGTTTCACACACCGCTTTGTCACACACCACTTTGTCACACCATCTTTCACCACACCATCTTCCACACACCATCTTTCACCACCCCATTTTTCACACACAACTTTGTCACACACCATCTTTGACACACCATCTTTCACACAGCACTTTGCCACACACCGTCTTTCACACACAACTTTGTCACATGCTCTCTTTCACACAGGGCTTTCACCCACGCCATCTTTCAGCACACCATCCTTCACACACCACTTTGTCACACACCATCTTTCACCACACCATCCTTCACACACAACTTTGTCACACACCGACCATCTTTCGCCACACCATCTTTCACACACCACTTTGTCACACACCATCTTTCACACACAACTTTGTCACACTCTCTTTCACACACAACTTTCACACACGCCATCTTTCACACACTGCTGTGTCACACACACACACCATCTTTCACATTCCACTTTGTCACTCACAACTGTTTTAACTTCTCGATCCTTCACCGCCTCCTTTCCCCTAACCTTCTTTCCCCGTCCCTGCTACAACCTTTCATGCTTATTATTGGAAGAAGTTGACTTGTGGGGTTATCCGGTCCTTTAATTTTATGGCTCATGTTTGATAACCATGGGGGGTCGGCCTCTATTCATAATGCAATTGCGTTTACTTTAAAGATGTTGATGAGGGATATAGATAAAATCACCTGAGTTGGGAACCTCATTCAACTTGTTGATTTTTGATGCTAGTACCCTTTGGGGCCAATTGAAAGGAAGGGGATCTAAAAGAAGATTGGTGTTTGCTTATCACGCAACGATTTCCAAATTGAGGATTGGTGCTGATGTGTCGTATGATATGACTTGAGACTGTGGTGGATTACGAACCTGAATCAACGTACTGATGTTGATACTAATACTGGCAGAACCTTTTGAAAGAAATGGAATTGTTTGTTTGCTTTTTTGCAACCTTTTATGGCCTTTGTCATGGCATCCAAAAGGGTTTTGCATCCAGCTTTGGAGGCTGTTTGCACTGTCGGCATGGCCCCTGCACGCATAAAGCCGTCATCCGATGTAAGGGCTTTCAACATCTCATCATCAACAGATGCGGTACCCTTCAGCGATGTGGACTCACTGACCAAATCCGTTTTGTCAAACTTTTGGGCTTGCCTCATGTAATACCACCTGTCCTAGATGGTTTGGTTTTGTCTCTGAATAAAACAACTTATCATATCTATCATGTATGCATGCCATATGTCATGTAAATGTAAACATAAGGAAATATATATATGTATATATACATATGTATATATATATATGTACAAATAAAAATGTACCTCAAATTGAGATGAAAGTCGTCCTCACATTCTGGAAAGTCAGCATCTTCATAATACAATCCAGCCTCCGTTCGAGACTTAATCACTTGAGCAGCCTTTTCCTCCCCCAATTTGGCCTTGATATCCCGCCCTTGCATGGCAACCCATCCCGACTTTGCAGCATGAATTTGCTCATGCTTCCGTTCTACTTGGAGAACCAGGTTGTCCCAGTTCTTCTGGCAATCAAGCCACATGTTGAAAAGCTCCAAGCGATTCGAAGAATAGAATTCATGCACCCTAAACCTCTCTTTCGACCTCACAAAAGAATCCCAATCTTTCTTGTTCGTCGAGTCTTGGGTTGGAACTAGTTGAAGCTGAACCCATTATAAAAATCCATTTCAAGACATTGACACCCAAATACATTTATTACCTCTAATAACAAACCTCTAAAGTGGTGATTATAATCAGAAACTGTTACTAGTCAAATTCTGGTGTACTGTTTCGCACGAGACTTCCATTTGCTTGGGACTGATCCTGGGTCTGCGCCACCACCAGGGCCAACTGGTCAGCCTCGGGCTTCTTCTCATCTTTCTCCTGGGACACATCTGCGCTCTTCTGGTCCTTCTGCTCCTCACTTTTCACCTCATCCTCCTCATCCATTGCCTCATCTTCTGATGCTTCTGACTTCTCGTCATCGTCATTGTCGTCTTCTTCTTCTTCTGCCTCCCTCTCCGATGAGGAATCTTGGCTTTCTTCGACTTCTTCGTCATCATCACTTTCATCTCCGCTCTCTTCACCTCCTTGGCTTTCCTGCTCCTCAGCATCTTCATCACCTTCTACCTCTGAACTTGTCTCATCGTCCTCCTCATTGTCACATGACTCCTCAAGCATGGATGTGAGATCCTTCGCCTTGTTGGTTGTCGTGCTGCTGGTAGTCACAGACGCTGGAGGTGATGGCGAAGTCTTTGAAACCTTTGCCGGTGGTGTCTTGAAGATCTCTGCGGCTTCGCCTTTCTTCTGCACAGGAAAGAACTTCACAGGTGGGTCTTCTTTCTTCTTCTCTGCCTTTGTAGTCTCTTCTTTCTCCTTCTTCAATGTCTTCTTGCCTCCTTCCTTCTTGGTTTTCTCCTCCTTGCTCTTCTTTTGTTCCTTCTCTTCCTTCTGACGTTTCCTCGCAACAGCCTCCGCTGCGGCGGCGGCGGCTCTTTTAAGCTCCTCCTCAACTTTGCTTTTCATCTTTGTTGGCTTGGCTGCCGCTTGAAGCTTCTGAGTCTTCTTGGACTTTTCCTTGGACTTCTCCTTGGACTTCTCCTTGGACTTCTCCTTGGACTTTTCCTTGGACTTCTCCTTGTGGGCAACCTTGTCTTTCGAAACCTTTTCTCCTTTTTCCTTCTGGATCGTCTTCTTGACCTTGGAGGGTGCAGACGTTGATGTCTTTCTCAAAGCTGGGGGCCGCTTTGGCTCAGCAGCAACTTCATTTGGCGTAGACTTCCCTTTGATGCGCTTGGCTGGTGCTGATTCAGCCTTTGCATCTTTCCCCATGGGATAAAAGGTCTTGGAAAAAAGCTGAAAATAGCTGGGAACCAAAAATTGTGGCGATCGAGGACGGTTTGATATAAGGCATTCTACAAGTCGCAGCATTTTACATTCATGGTTCAGAAAAAAACAGCTGAGATGGCTGATAGTTGTCTATCAGAAGCAGGTTTGACACATGTGGAATTCAACTGGTTTTGTGGGGTTCCTACAAGTCGCATCATTTCGCAGTTATTCGCAGCAATTTCGCAGTTCATTCGCATCATTTTGTAAGGATGATTTTTACAATTTCTGATTGTTTTTTTTGATCGAGGGTGGCCCCCAGAATGACAATGTTCCAATTGACTCACACCATCATGCAGTTCACACCATCAGTTCGCACCAGTCCCCCCCACCCTGGAAGTGGCTGCAATCAAGCCGGTGTTGCCAAAGCCTTGCAAAGGCCGCTTGAGGGTGATCCGCTTCATATCATGGGGTCCTGGTGCGAGCTGACATTCATGAGACATCCATTATGGGGGGGTTATGTGTGTGAATACACTCCGTGTGCAGATGCATTTTTATATCTATCTAGCTTTGCTTCTACATAGGTGCATAGAATCATGCATGTACATACGCATGCAGGTTGCTTGGTTTTCGTGTTTGAAATATGTATGTATGTATGTGTATATATATATATATATATACATCTGTATAAATATAAGTAAATCAAAAGAAATATACATATATAGTGTATATGCTTGTACTTGTGTAAATGGGTAAATGGGTCATGTTTCAAAACAGGGGCATTGCAGCGCCAATTTTTTGATCTGACCAGAACTTCAAAACTAGATTCAACCAGTTTTGATATGTGCTGATACCCCAGTAAAGAGTTAGGCATTTGTCGACACCATCTTGTGTGGGAAATTGAACTTTGGATCCCCACGGTGAAACAGGATAATTATTGATCATTATTGCAGAAAAGAGTGCTGATGAATGTGGTGTTGAATAACCGTAAAACCTTAATGTTATCCCTCAAACAAGCATGATCTTCGTGGGTACTACCCGCTTATTTCTACTTACTTTGGGCACGCCGTTGGCTATTGTCGCCCTGTTCCCCAAATCAATTACCACTTTTGTGGGCCCTGGGTAACCTTATCCCTACTGACTTGTGGGAATCACCATCCCCGATTCACAAATACACCCACCATTTTCCCCATAGCAAATCTAGGCGTTGTAATTTGAACACCACGGCTAAACCCTGGTTTTGACCTAGGGTCCCAGCATGGCATGCCTGCAAATGGCAAATTTCTCGCTATTCAACGAGACAGAAATTGGATGACACTTTCCAACTTGGCACATTTGGCCCATTCCTGATTGATTCTTTTTCTGCAATCAGGTTTGTTCTCAGACTTTCTGCTACGTCTCAAGAACTGATAGGCTTCTCTTTGATGTTTTTTCTGATTCGCCGATCGGACTCTGGCAAGGGCCCTCCCAAACCTCATGTTTTGATTCTCGCTTTTGGATACCCCCAAATACCAGAAAACAAAACACATTGTGCAAAAATAGTTAGTAATAAAGCCTTTACACACCAAACATATTACCATCTTGTGGGTTGTCAAGAGACCCATCTGGGTAATGTTGGCTCCCTTTGAGCAATGATGTTCCAGTCACCCGAGAGCGCCCACTGCCATCCACGTAATGGCGCACCATGTCGCCACTCTGAAACCTGCGAGGCAGCTGGTGATCCGCAATGGAGTCAATGGCACGGTGACCTCAGATTGGGCTGCCTGGAAAACGCCAATATGGCCACAACCTCCAGGGATTCATGGGAGCTAGATACCTTTAAACCATGTTAAAGTAAAAACAGGCAAACCCTTGATTGAAACCAAGTGGCTACTATATAGCAGTGTGGGCTTAAGACTACCACCACCATAGTCCCCCATGTTCATTCGTAGCTTGCGCAATGGCACAAGCTTGAGGAAGCGCTGAAATAGAGTATGGTATTCCATTAATGAACTTGATGGCTGTTCTAAGACAAACCATATACCCTTGGCAGCGCAGAGAAGAAGTAAAATGAGGGTTCTGGCTGTGAGTAAATTGCCCAACCTCACTGAAGGTCGTGAACGATCCCCCATCGGTGATAGCAATGTTCGACCAGTGCTTCCCATACTCCTGGTAGGGAATGCGAATTGGTTGTGGTTGGGGCCCTTTGTTGGTTGCTAACCCTTGGATAACCCCTTTTGTTAAAGCCTCTATATTGAAAAGACTATTCTTACAAGGTGGATATTCAGAATTTGGGTCCTTGATTTTTCTACAAAAAAGTGGAACCCAATTTCAAAAACCATCGTGGGTTTTACTGCCATTGCCTACATGATCCCATTTTGGGTGCTTACACCAATGTTTTGGATCATCCCTTGTGTTAGCGCTGCTACCATTTGCCCGACAATTAACTGGTTGATTCTGGAAAACCTTTGAAACACATCTTACCCCATCACCTTACCACCCATTTGAAATATGACAGTTGTAATTTTCCTGGTGGTGTGCCACCCCAAGATCATTATAGAAAACCATCATGTTGGGTAATCGTTTTGGGCAATCTTTGGGGATGAACTTGTTTTTGGCAACCCTGTCATGAAAATCCATGAGCCGCATACCGGCGCTGCTAAAGCGCCAGTCCCTGGCCGTAAATTACAAACCATGAAGAGCGCGTTCCCAAAGCCACCGATGCAAATATCCAAAGTGTCGCCACCGATGCAAATATCCAAAGGGACAGCTGATCTTCCCCCCTGATTGGTTTGACGTGGTGTAAAATATTATTTCACACACATATGATTGGGAATGTCATGCATAAGAAAAATGCATATGAATGGGTGTGCAATAGTTATTAAAGAATGGGATGGCGTAACATGAATATATCATCATATGTGCTAATTTTCCACTTGGGTTGGTCCGCATAATGAATACTTATAAACGGATATCCTATCATCAGTTGGAGTACTCGATACAGACGATAAGATTCTTATCGTCTGCATACAATTAAATATAACTCTTGATTACATACATACATCCCTATCATTTTACTTTTTAGTAAATCTCCATATAATATCATATATTAAAACATATTATATCATATTATTTGATTTTACGATCGATATCTTCAATACAATATACTATGTATTGTATCCTATGATATAGTGTATATGTATAATATATCGCTGGGTACACCTGTAAGGAACCAATGGGTTTTCCATTGGGGATGTTGGAAACATAGAGATTTTTTTGTTGGAAACCCGAAGGCTCCTGCCACTCACCACGCGTCACTGACATGGTTCCAGCAAACAATTCGACATGATCACCTGGTCGATTCCAATCCAAGGATGGATTCATGAATAGCAGCTTCACCAGAGTCATCACAACCTAAGGGATGGCGGTTGGAAATGGATATTTGCTGGGACTTGTGGGGGTATCTCACTGTAGTGGTACGCCTGAGTTCCCCATGATTGCACATCTATATAAATATATTTATATATATATATGTGTGTGTGTGTGCAACCCCAATGTTCCTACTACAAATGCCAGCGCAATCAGACTGCGCCGTGATGAGGCAAGAAGCCAAAGGGGCCCGAAGATAGCGCAAGCCAGAGAGCAACCAGGCCTGCTGCTTCTGCTTCATGGTCTTGGGTCGGCGGTTCTTCGGGGCCTTGTTGAAAGGTAAGTCAGTCTGGATTTTTTGCAGCCTCTTCTTCACAGCTTCGGCGTCTAACGAACGTTTCGGCATGATCACTGTATCCGAAATTGGTTCAACTGGCGGGGCAAAAGATCCTATTGAATAAAAATGTTGCAGTCATGCAGCACCACGTTGGTTTTGGGAAGGAAGGAACCTTGAGCAAACAACACCCCATGTTGAACCTCTGTCACTCTTCTTGATTTTTGCTTCACCTTAACCCAACTTAAATTGCGGAGTCTGCATGGTTTTGCAACCCCCCCTGCAGCAGCGTCCTGCACGAGCGTTCGTCAAAGCCCCTGTGTGTACCTGGCGGTTGTGCTCATGGCAAATTTTACACCATCAACAGAATGCTCATTTGGCATTCTGTTGAGGGCATTGGGGCAGGCAAAGAAATACATTTAAACAGTTGTCCATGGAATGGAGGGTTTCCAAAATAAAAGTCTGATGTCTCAGATTCTGCTGATTTTTGAAACTGGCTCACATTGTGTCCATGACATGCACGCACTGAGCCCTTTCCAATCCCACAGTGACTTCCGGTGCTCGCGCAATCTAAGGAAGCTACCCTGTAATCCTTCGAAACCCAGCCACTGGCACTTCTAAGACAAGTACAGTGGCCGCCCCCAATTAACCATTGGTGCGATGGTATCACCGAACCCACAAAACAAGATCATCAAAGACCTATAGATATTTGCAGCTCACGGTTTGCGAGCTATGCCACTACTGTTCAACAGCCGACAGACCGGCGCGGCGACATGCCTCATTCCATGCCTCAACCGCTCCACCATGCTTGCTCCAACTCACCTGGTAGCTGCTGGGCTTAGGCGTGCCCGGGATGGACTTTTTGATGTAGTACGCCTGCTGCTTGCAAAGCACCTCGATTGCCTGAGCGCGTGAAAACTTTTCTCCATGAGAAATAATGAAACAGAAATGCCCTGGAACCCCAACCAGACATTGGAAGATTTCAAAACATAAGACCACTTGTGGCTGAGGGGCGCAACCCTGAATCCACACCGTGTATGAGTGATTCCCTTTGTAAGCTTGATGGGCCATGGGAAGGGCTGGCTCAGGGACACCGGTGAGATCATAGGTTTTGAAAGTTGTAGTTTTCTGGTTGGACCCGTCCGTCGCCCCTGCACTTGAAACGGTGTCCTCTTCAACTTCCTTCTTTGCCTTTTCCATCTTCTTCAACTTGGACATGGCCTTTCCCTCAGGATGACAAAGTTTACTGAGCATGGTGCAAGTACCCTGTTGGGATGGTAAGCACTTGATTGAAGAAGCGTTGATCAAAGACAACCATTCATTTTTCCACTCCAATTCTTAGTGGGAAATATTTGCAAAAGATTTCATGTGTGACATGTTAGGATGCATCGTAAGTCGTAAGCCCTTTGTCGAAGACGGAAGTCTTGACTTTTTGTCTTGTTTGGAAAATGACTAGAAATCACCATGCACATTCCCTTATAATTCCCTGATAGGCTGGATACCATGAAAGAATGGTTCAATGTTTATCATCGTTGGCTCTTAAAGTTTAAAACAAGGATCCGTTTGTCTTCCTGGGACAGGCGGAGGAGTAATGTCCAGTTTCAAGCTGACTTCATCAGCTAATCGGGGCTTCTTGCATGCCGGGGTGATTTGAACTGAATCATCATCATTCGCAGCTTCTGCATCCATGTTCATCAGGCGCAAAGCGTCTGCAAAGCCATTGGAGCCCTGGACGGAAGCTTGCGTGGGAGACCCGGATTCGTGGGAGACCCGGTTTTATCTTGGCAGAAAAAACTTAATGATGTTTTGTTTAAAACCATGCTTTTTCCATGTGCTGAAAAGTATCACAGCTATATGAAAGCTAATCATAGTGAAGGAAATGTGAAAATGAGCAATTCACAGCGGCGCTATCTTGAAAGGCTTTTGGCATACCAAAAACATTGTCAGAACATGTTCGCAATTTCCCAAATGGGGAACACCGTTTTTCAAGTGTTGCAACTCCGCGCACAGGCCAAGCCTGTGGATCCTCTGCTGCCTTAAGGTCTGCATCCTGCGGGATGGCATGGACAGGGAATAAATCTATGTTTTTTCATGACGATTTGGCGAATGGGATCCAAAAAGAACACATTTTATGGTGAACAGGGTCAAGAAACACATTTTATGAGGAATGGGGTGAAGAGACACAATTTATGGTGATTGAGGTCAGGAAAGATATTTGGTGGTGAATTGGGTCGCGAAACAGATTTGATGGTGAACTGGATCAACACCCTAATGGCGTGAAATTGTAGATATATGCTAGGGGTCCTGGGCTTTCTCCTCTCGAAGCCAAGTGCAGGAATGATCCCTTGAAGCCAATGTGGACTGGACCGCATCACCATAGAGCAACAAGGAATTTCGGCAATGGGTCAAGTAGTCCCCAAGCATCGGATGCCTTGGCGCAGTCAGTCAACCCCAAAAAAAACTCAAAAATATTGGTTTCAACTTGTTTGCAACAGACTCCAACTACTGTTTGGCAAGGCAAATGGAACAGAGTCGAACCAAATAAACATTCATGCGTGCTGGTTTCCATGGGTAACCATTTTGAAATCTGTTTGCAAGACAATTGCAACAGACTCCAACATTTTTGGACAAACAAAATGGAACAAAGTAAGTCGAACCGAACAAACATTCACCTAGCTACTCTGTGAGGGTTTCGTCTTGAGCTAGCAGGTCACTGTAGATGTCGGACAACCCCAAAGCTAATGCCCTGACAACCTCTTCACTCATAGAAATCTAAACACCGTCCATCACATGAGCTACAACTTCGGAATTCATTTCTGCCTTGCAAACGAAAAGGTGGGGGTTCTTGGGGGGGACGTCGTCCATGGCTTTGAGATCGGACTCCTTGAGGCCATATGCTGTCTTCCACTTGGTATAGAAGCCACCCAGCCAACCCTCGGGTCTGACTTGGGAACACACAAACTCCTCATTCTCATCCTCAGCCACAGCATGGTCACTACCATTGCCTTCAGAAGAAACACTTTCCCCCCCCAACAGGAGCGTCTGGGCATACAAGCTTGACGCATCAACGCTATCACCTTGAGACCCACCGTTGTCGATCTCCATGTCATTGTCGGCCTGCTCAACCTCAGACGAAGATGACAAAGCTTCATCCTGCGGGTCATCTGCTGGAGCTGGTTCACCTGCATCTTCATTCGACGAAGCTTCATCCTGCGGGTCATCTGCTGGAGCTGGTTCACCTGCATCTTCATTCGACGAAGCTTCATCCTGCGGGTCATCAGCTGGAGCTGGTTCACCTGCATCTTCATTCTCAGCCTCACTCTCCTCCGCGCGGGCTCGCGCGTTGGCTTCTTGAATTGGACTGGAAATCAGAAAGTCTTTCAACTCTTGGACATGCCTGTCATGGCTGCTACCCTTAGCGTTACGCCATAAGTAGCGCAACGCCATAAGTAGCGCAACGCTCCGATGCACCTTTTCGCTTTCGACCCCTCGTCACCAGCAAGGGCCAAAACGGTCTCGCGCTGAGCCCGGTCTGGGCGAAACAGTTTGCCGTTCAGGTAGTATCGGTGCAGCTGCAAAAAGCAATCGGCAACGAAGAAGGCACTGGGCACCTGAGGGATTGACAGGCACCACAAACAAAATGGAAACTGTTCAAACATCACAAAACTGTTCAAAAAGGTGGCCAACTATGAACCTTAAGTGAACACACAAGTTTGAACACCCCTAACCCTCTTGGGGCAGTGTTGGACCAAAGGGCGCAGCCACATCCTGTTCCTGGCCAGGACTGTGGCTGACGGTCGTGAAATCATGTCATCCAACAGGATCAGCGCACCACCCTTCCATTCATCGGATGTGATCAAAGTGAGCACTTCGACTGACAAGTTGGCGTGGATGGAAGCTGCAACACGATCCTTACAATGCAAAACGTTTGGTAGGTTTGGGCATTGAGACCAAAATGGGTCTTCAAGAGGAATTATGCTTCATGGCAGGGTTGTGTACCGGATGGAGTTCAAGATGAATAAAGTAAATCAATTATATAACATAACAATACCATGCCCCAATCTTGGGTCCCTTGATAGGGTTCAAGATGAACAGATGCAACACTAAACTCAATCCTCAGGGTTGTGGATCCCACTGGATTAAAGTTCGAATTTTCTTGCTGGTTTGGCACCCCAAAATCTGACCCCCACAACTCTACCCTCAGTAACCTTTTTCCTACAGGTTTGCTACATGTTTAGTTGGTTGTGGGGGTCAGATTTTGGGGTGCTAAACTAATAGGAAAATTGTTAGATTAAAGACACTATTCCCTCATCTTAGATTCATCGTAGATGCCCCCATATGGTTGAAAATGATTAGATCCTTTGCTAAAGTGACAATGGTAAGTCGAGGGGATGGGATTGTTGTTGGCTCACTTCCTTTAAGACATGCTAAATTCAAACAAGAAACCTTGGCATAGCATCTATTCAACTATTCATTTTGAAAATCAATGTAGATAGGCGCATCATGGTGAATCTATGCTGAAGGGATGATTTTTTTGGGTCCCCTTCAAAACATCAAAATAGATATATAATCCCAGATATCCAGGTTGTACCGCCCAGAGTTTGCCACCAAAACTCAACATCTGACTCGGTCCAACTGATGCGACCAGGCCGGGTAGACTGCCACTTCGGTCGAGGCTGAGAATTGGCAAGTGCTCTGGGCTCAGCAACCGGCTGCTCAACTAGCGCCATTGGCAACAGCAAAGGTTCAAACCGCGCCTCAAAACTAAATGCCTGCAATGTAGCCAGGTTTTGAATCCAAATCCATTCAAACCATCATGAGGATATCTTGATGCGATGTCGTCAGGTTTTCAATCCAGATACTTTCAACCATCGAGCAAATATTTTGATGTCATGCCGTGAGACCCAAGAAATAATTGACCCAGTCAGTTCATCTTTGCTATGGTATTTGTCCCCGGCTCCAAATGCACTCCCATCCCGGGGGCACGAGTCGTCCGTCACCCAGGCCATGATCGAGTGACGCATGGCTCCGGCGGCCAATGGCAGGATGAGGAATGAAAACTCTTACATGCTTTACGGTTACAGTTGACCCTCTAACTTGTTGGGGTGAAGATGGGAAGACAATCTACGATGTAATTTTTGATTTTGCATTGTTGGTTCATCTTATGGGAATCGTCGTAATGATATTTGTACACTGAATTGAATGGTGTGCATCAATTTCAAGTAAAACGAATAATACTTATCTATCCCAGCCACTGTCAATATATTTCATTGTCAGTTGAAAGAATTGAATTCCCCGTGGCACCCATGGACCCTCAAAGTTCTTGAGAAATGCCATGGCCACCGGTCGGCCCTTGGTTCGCGCTCCCCATGGGTTCAATGTGTGGGATTGTAGGAGTTAACATATTTTGGAAGCCACCCAAATACCCTACCACCTGGTATAGGCTGAATCGTATTGGTTGAAATTTATCAGCAGAATTGATCTGCCCACCTGTCAAACCCGGTCAATAGATTTTGGGGTCAATGTCAAACACATATAATTGGTCTAGCAAAGGATTATCGGTCTATAGATTTGGGGGTCAATTGGCCCACAAAATTAACATTTCAATCAAAAATTACACCGGCATAGACCCCAGATAGAAAAGGTTGGAACTGATGGTTTCCAACGTGGGAACCAAAGGTTACCATGGCAAGGAACTGCCGGTTCCCAGACCTTGAAACTTAGGGTTCCCAACCTGGGAACCAGAGGTTACCATTGCAAGGAATTGCCGGTTCCCAGAAGTTAGAACTCATGTTTTCGAAGCTAAGCAACTATCATTGTAAGGAACTGCCGGTTGCGAAAGCTTGAAACTCATGGTTCCAAACCTGAAAAAGCATACGTTACCAGTGGAAGGATCTGTTGATTCCAAAAAAATAAAAATCATGGTTCTTAATGTTGTTTTGTTTTGTTTGCTGAGCCGGTAGCAAAACCTTTTGTTTTGCTTAATGGACCGGTAGCGGAATGTTTGCGTTCGGCTGCTGGGCCGGCATAAAAATGTAGGTACATGTCAAAATGATATGAAAACAGTTTCTTTACAATTTTATGGTTTTGCTTAATGGACCGGTAAAGAACGCTTTGTTTTGCTTAATGGACCGGTACCGGAATGTTTGCGTTTGGTTCATGGCAAGGAATTGCCGGTTCCCAAAGGTTGGAACTCACGGTTGCCAACGTGGGAACCACAGGTTACCATGGCAAGGAACTGCCGGTTCCCAGACCTTGAAACTTACGGTTCCCAACCTGGGAACCAGAGGTTACTTTTGCAAGGAATTGCCGGTTCCCAGAAGTTAGAATTTATGTTTTCGAAGCAAAGCAACTATCATTGTAAGGAACTGCGGGTTCCCAAAGCTTGAAACTCATGGTTCCAAGCCTGAAAAAGTAACGTTACCAGTGGAAGGATCTGTTGATTGCAAAAATAAAAATCATGGTTCTTAATGTTGTTTTGTTTTGTTTGCTGAGCCGGTAACAAAACCTTTTGTTTTGCTTAATGGACCGGTAGCGGAATGTTTGCGTTTGGCTGTTGGGCCGGCATAAAAATGTTTTTGCACGAAAAAGGTGCACGTCAAAATGATATGAAAACAGTTTCTTTACAATTTTATGGTTTTGCTTAATGGACCGGTACAGAACGCTTTGTTTTGCTTAATGGACCGGTACCGGAATGTTTGCGTTTGGTTCATGGCAAGGAACTGCCGGTTCCCAAAGGTTGGAACTCACGGTTGCCAACGTGGGAAACACAGGTTACCATTGCAATGAACTTCCAATTCCTAAAGGTTGGAACTGATTTTTCCCAACGTGGTAACCACAGGTTACCATCGCAATGAACTTCCAATTCCTAAAGGTTGGAACTGATTTTTCCCAACGTGGGAACCAAAGGTTACCATGGCAAGGAACTGCCGGTTCCCAGACCTTGAAACTTACGGTTCCCAACCTGGGAACCAGAGGTTACCATTGCAAGGAATTGCCGGTTCCCAGAAGTTAGAAAAGATGTTTTCGAAGCTAAGCGGCTATCATTGTAAGGAACTGCGGGTTCCCAAAGCTTGAAACTCATGGTTCCAAGCCTGAAAAAGTAACGTTACCAGTGGAAGGATCTGTTGATTGCAAAAAGTTAAAACTCATGGTTCTTAATGTTGTTTTGTTTTGTTTACTGAGCCGGTAACAGAACCTTTTGTTTTGCTTAATGGACCGGTAGCGGAATGTTTGCGTTTGGCTGTTGGGCCGGCAAAAAAAAGTTTTTGCACGAAAAAGGTGCGTGTCAAAATGATATGAAAACAGTTTCTTTACAGCTTTATGGTTTTGCTTAATGGACCGGTACAGAACGCTTTGTTTTGCTTAATGGACCGGTACCGGAATGTTTGCGTTTGGTTCATGGCAAGGAACTGCCGGTTCCCAGAGGTTGGAACTCATGCTTCCCAACCTAGGAACCATAGGTTACCATTGCAATGAACTTCCAATTCCTAAAGGTTGGAACTGATTTTTCCCAACGTGGGAACCACAGGTTACCATGGCGAGGAACTGCCGGTTCCCAGACCTTGAAGCTTACGGTTCCCAACCTGGGAACCAGAGGTTACCATTGCAAAGAACTTCCGGTTCCTAAAGGTTGGAACTGACGGTTCCCAACGTGGGAACCAAAGGTTACCATGGCAAGGAACTGACGGCTCCCAGACCTTGAAACTTAGGGTTCCCAACCTGGGAACCAGAGGTTACCATTGCAAGGAATTGCCGGTTCCCAGAAGTTAGGATTTATGTTTTCGAAGCTAAGCAACTATCATTGTAAGGAACTGCGGGTTCCCAAAGCTTGAAACTCATGGTTCCAAGCCTGAAAAAGTAACGTTACCAGTGGAAGGATCTGTTGATTGCAAAAAGTTAGAACTCATGGTTCTTAATGTTGTTTTGTTTTGTTTACTGAGCCGGTAATGATATGAAAACAGTTCTCTTTACAATTTTATGGTTTTGCTTAATGGACCGGTACAGAACGCTTTGTTTTGCTTGGTGGACAGGTACCGGAATGTTTGCGTTTGGTTCATGGCAAGGAACTGCCGGTTTCCAAAGGTTGGAACTCACGGTTGCCAACGTGGGAACCACAGGTTACCATTGCAAGGAACTCCTGGTTCCCAACCTGGGAACCATGGGTTACCATTGCAAGCAACTGCCGGTTACCAGAGGTTGGAACTCATGCTTCCCAACCTGGGAACCATAGGTTACCATTGCAAAGAACTTCCAATTCCTAAAGGTTGGAACTGATGGTTCCTAACGTGGGAACCAAAGGTTACCATGGCAAGGAACTGCCGGTTCCCAGACCTTGAAACTTACGGTTCCCAACCTGGGAACCAGAGGTTACCATTGCAAGGAATTGCCGGTTCCCAGAAGTTAGAATTTATGTTTTCGAAGCTAAGCGGCTATCATTGTAAGGAAATGCGGGTTCCCAAAGCTTGAAACTCATGGTTCCAAGCCTGAAAAAGTAACGTTACCAGTGGAAGGATCTGTTGATTCCAAAAAGATAAAAATCATGGTTCTTAATGTTGTTTTGTTTTGTTTACTGAGCCGGTAACAGAACCTTTTGTTTTGCTTAATGGACCGGTAAAGAACGCTTTGTTTTGCTTAATGGACCGGTACCAGAATGTTTGCGTTTGGTTCATGGCAAGGAACTGCCGGTTCCCAAAGGTTGGAACTCACGCTTGCCAACGTGGGAACCACAGGTTACCATTGCAAGGAACTGCCGGTTCCCACAGGTTAGAAGTCATGGTTCCCAACCTGGGAACCAGAGGTTCCCAGAGGTTGGAACTCATGCTTCCCAACCTGGGAACCATAGGTTACCATTGCAATGAACTTCCAGTTCCTAAAGGTTGGAACTGATGGTTCCCAACGTGGGAACCAAAGGTTACCATGGCAAGGAACTGCCGGTTCCCAGACCTTGAAACTTACGGTTCCCAACCTGGGAACCAGAGGTTACCCAGAAGTTAGACCTCATGTTTTCGAAGCAAAGCGGCTATCATTGTAAGGAACTGCTGGTTGCTTTTCGAAGCTAAGCGGCTGGATCCAAAAAGTTAGACCTCATGGTTCTTAATGTTCTTTTGTTTGTTTACTGAGCCGGTAACAGAACCTTTTGTTTTGCTTAATGGACCGGTAGCGGAATGTTTGCGTTCGGCTGCTGGGCCGGCATAAAAATGTTTTTGCACGAAAAAGGTGCATGTCAAAATGATATGAAAACAGTTTCTTTACAACTTTATGGTTTTGCTTAATGGACCGGTACAGAACGCTTTGTTTTGCTTAATGGACCGGTACCAGAATGTTTGCGTTTGGTTCATGGCAAGGAACTGCCGGTTACCAGAGGTTGGAACTCATGCTTCCCACCCTGGGAACCATAGGTTACCATTGCAAAGAACTTCCGTTTCCTAAAGGTTGGAACTGATGGTTCCCAACGTGGGAACCATGGGTTACCATTGCAAGCAACTGCCGGTTACCAGAGGTTGGAACTCATGCTTCCCAACCTGGGAACCAGAGGTTACCATTGCAAGGAATTGCTGGTTCCCAGAAGTTAGAATTTATGTTTTCGAAGCTAAACAACTATCATTGTAAGGAATTGCCGGCTGCGAAAGCTTGAAACTCATGGTCCCAAACCTAAAAAAGCATACCTTACCAGTGGAAGGATCTGTTGATTCCAAAAAGTTAGACCTCATGGTTCTTAATGTTGTTTTGTTTTGTTTACTGAGCCGGTAACAGAACCTTTTGTTTTGCTTAATGGACCGGTAGCGGAATGTTTGCGTTCGGCTGCTGGGCCGGCAAAAAAATGTTTTTGCACGAAAAAGGTGCATGTTAAAATGATATGAAAACAGTTTCTTTACAACTTTATGGTTTTGCTTAATGGACCGGTAAAGAACGCTTTGTTTTGCTTAATGGACCGGTACCAGAATGTTTGCGTTTGGTTCACGGCAAGGAACTGCCGGGTCCCAAAGGTTGGACCTCACGGTTGCCAACGTGGGAACCACAGGTTACCATTGCAAGGAACTGCCGGTTCCCACGGGTTAGAAGTCATGGTTCCCAACCTGGGAACCAGAGGTTACCATTGCAAGCAACTGCCGGTTCCCAGAGGTTGGAACTCATGCTTCCCAACCTGGGAACCATAGGTTACCATTGCAAAGAACTTCCGGTTCCTAAAGGTTGGAACTGATGCTTCCCAACCTGGGAACCAAAGGTTACCATGGCAAGGAACTGCCGGTTCCCAGACCTTGAAACTTACGGTTCCCAACCTGGGAACCAGAGGTTTCCATTGCAAGGAATTGCCAGTTCCCAGAAGTTAGAATTTATTTTTTCGAAGCTAAGCGGCTTTCATTGTAAGGAACTGCGGGTTCCCAAAGCTTCATGGTCCCAAGCCTGAAAAAGTAACGTTACCAGTGGAAGGATCTGTTGATTGCAAAAAGTTAGAACTCATGGTTCTTAATGTTGTTTTGTTTTGTTTACTGAGCCGGTAACAGAACCTTTTGTTTTGCTTAATGGACCGGTAGCGGAATGTTTGCGTTTGGCTGTTGGGCGGCATAAAAATGTTTTTGCACGAAAAAGGTGCATGTTAAAATGATATGAAAACAGTTTCTTTACAATTTATGGTTTTGCTTAATGGACCGGTAAAGAACGCTTTGTTTTGCTTAATGGACCGGTACCGGAATGTTTGCGTTTGGCTCATGGCAAGGAACTGCCGGTTCCCAAAGGTTGGAACTCACTGCTGCCAACGTGGGAACCACAGGTTACCATTGCAAGGAACTGCCGGTTCCCAGAGGTTGGAACTCCTGGTTCCCAACCTGGGAACCATGGGTTACCATTGCAAGCAACTGCCGGTTACCAAAGGTTGGAACTCATGCTTCCCACCCTGGGAACCATAGGTTACCATTGCAAAGAACTTCCGGTTCCTAAAGGTTGGAACTGGCGGTTCCCAACATGGGAACAAAAGCAAAGCATGCTGCACAGCACCCTGCACAGCACCCTGCACAGCACCAATTTCACAGCACCAATTTCACAGCACCAATTTCACAGCACCCTGCACAGCACCTTTGCGAGACTTCGCCACCGCAGTCTGGATAGCAGCGTGCACAGCACCCTGCACAGCACCTTTGCCAGACTTCGCCACAGCAATCTGGACAGCACCCTGCATAGCACCCTGCACAGCACCCTGCACAGCACCCTGCACAGCACCCTGCACAGCACCCGCACAGTACCCTGCACAGCACCCTGCACCTGCACAGCACCTTTGCCAGACTTCACCACCGCAGTCTGCACCACACCCTGCACAGCACCCTCCACAGCACCCTGCGCAGCACCCTGCACAGCACCCTGCACAGCACCCTGCAGAGCACCCTGCACAGCACCTTTGCCAGACTTCGCCACTGCACCCTGCACAGCACCGTGCACAGCAATTTTGCCAGACTTCGCCACCGCAGTCTGGACAGCACCCTGCACAGCACCCTGCACAGCACTTTTGCCAGACATCGCCACTGCAGTCTGAACAGCACTCTGCACAGCACCCTGCACACCACCTTTGCCAGACTTCGCCACTGCAGTCTGAAGAGCACTCGCCACTGCAGTCTGGACAGCACCCGGCACAGCACCCTGCACAGCACCTTTGCAAGACTTCACCACTGCAGTCTGAACAGCACTCTGCACAGCACCCTGCACAGCACCTTTGCCAGACTTCGCCACCGCACTAGTAGCTAGTACAGCACCCTGCACAGCAACCTGCACAGCACCCTGCACAGCCCCCTGCACAGCACCTTTGCCAGACTTCGCCACTGCACCCTGCACAGCACCCTGCACAGCACCCTGCACAGCACCTTTGCCAGACTTCGCCACCGCACTCTGGACAACACCCTGCAGAGCACCCTGCACAGCACCTTTGCAAGACTTCGCCACCGCAGTCTGGACAACACCCTGCACAGCGCCCTGCACAGCACCCTGCACAGCACCTTTGCCAGACTTCGCCACCGCAGTCTGGACAGCACCCTGCACAGGACCCTGCACAGCACCCTGCACAGCACCTTTGCCAGACTCCGCCACCGCAGTCTGGACAGCACCCGGCACAGCACCCTGCACAGCACCTTTGCCAGACTTCGCCACCGCAGTCTGGACAGCACCCTGCACAGCACCCTGGCTCAAAAGTTCGCCACCGAAGACCCCACCTTTGAGAAGTAAGAACCCTATAGCTTGCCAGCTATCTGGGGAACAACTGTGCACAGTAAAACATGGCCAGGACGCGCGAGGGCTGTTTCCCCCATCCTTGCAGATCGCGTGTTTGCAATTGTTTGGATACTGTACTAGCAATCTGTGAGCCATGGAGAGTATCAGCTGCTGTGGACATTTACTGTTCCTGTATGTTGTGCAACCTAGGAATCTCATGTGTCAGACTCCTTTGACAGGGTTGCAATGTACAGCAGGAGGTTGCCACCCTCAAGATTCGGATAGCAATATTCACTTTCGTAGAAAATGATGTTAAGATTTAGCAAATTTAGCGACACATTTCAAGAAGTGGTTAGTTTTGATCTCCGTCCGGCTTCACTGTGAACGACGCGCGAGTGAAATATAGAGTTGAGATGAGTTGAGAGATCATGAGGATCTCTGCATCTGCAGTCGCCGCCAAGTGGGGAGACAAGTTCAGGACATCCTTCATCGAATGAACCGAGATAAACCGAGGGTACTAATTCTTCTTTGCTGTGCTTCAAGTTGTTTACATTTTTTCGCAGTATTTACGCTACAAAATGCATTTGATGGATCTGGAGCTTGCAGAACGTGCAGAACGTGCAGAGTATACAGGACACTCTTAGAGTCCATGGGAGCGTCGCGTGCAGCTGCAACCTGAGCCTCTTGATGAATTACTTGCTGAAGGGACTTTGCAGCTGCAACTTTTCCAAGGCCGCAAGTTCTGCTATCACGTTTGCAGCTTAGTTTTCTCCTGCAGATGGATCTAATTTGATTCAAGGTTGAAGTTTTGAAATCTGAAAATCAAACCACTTTGGGATTATCGGGGTTCTTGTGAGTACACTTGGATCACATGCCTAGACTTGGTCCAGTGACAGTGTCGTTCCCTGCACTTGTAGTCGGAGACTCAGTGCTGACATAATATGATCACCAGCGAGAAGGGATGTGATGGATGAGCAAAAAGTGGCAATAACTTGGTTACAGTCTTTGGTGTGCTATCGATATCTATCTATGCCGCTATGCTGTGCGGTCTGAATCAGTCTGAGTTAATTGGGGAACCTATTTTGCTTTGGTTGAACATGTTTCAGCTAATCCGCCTTTGAACGTCCTCACTACAGTCACTACTGCTTTCTGGGCTGACCAGGTTCTCATCTTCGTCACAGGAATGATTTATATGGGTGGAGACTTGGGAAAGCGCTTTGCAAGAGGCGCTTCTGAAGCAGAGTTGAACAGGTCGCCGTCGGTGATCATCTTGTGTTGCTTTGAAGCCCTTTTGAAACCCTTTTGAAACCCTTTTGAAACCCTTTTGCCATTGCGCTGAGGCTCCTCAGCGCTGGCCGTCATTCTCATTTTGACCATGACGATTGTTGCAGGCACAGACTTCAAGGCGCTCCAAAGCAAAGCGCCAAGATTTGTACGTATACTTAGAGATATTTTATATGGACGTACCTGGCAGATATCCTATGATATCTATGATCTCCTATCTTCAAAATCGCGCTGATTCTATCCACATCAACATCACAGAGGTGATTTCATTCAATGCCCTGTCCATGCAATGCCGGTCTGTTGCATGTTCCTTGTGTGCCATTTTTGAGGCATCGCATTTTCAGCCTTTTGTACCTCCAGAGTTTGGACTTAGCGGTGCCTCAGCCACATTCGGCCATCATATCTTTTATTGTCTCTTCCAGGTTCGTCCAAGGTCTACAAAATTCTAAACTTTGATGTACTTTAATAGTTGCCTTCGGCAGTGTTTCTGGTTGTTCTGCGGCTTCCTGCACAAGTGTCGCATGGTGTGCAGTACCACGTTCCGTTGACGTGATTCTCCTTTCGAGGGACTATGATTATTTTCTTAGGTTTGAGCACTTGCAATCACTTGCCACTTGCATACAAAATCATACAAATGTGTTCTGTTCACTTCTGTATAACAATGCATACCGCAGGTGTCATGGCTGGGGCCGTCACGACCTTTTTTGGTTTTATCGGATTTGATGAAGTTTGCTGCATGGCTGGCGAGGCGAGACTGAAGATTCCCACAGTCCGTAAGACAAGCTGGAAATGCTTTTGCTACAAGTGCATTGTATGGCAGGCAGTGCAACCGCAAAAGACAGTACCACAGGCTCTCATTGGGACACTTTCCATTGCCACACTTCTGCCTGTAATTGCCTCTTTGGCACTTGTGGGCTGCGGACTCAGGCAGCGGCCAGATTTTAGATGTTCATATTTGACATCAGCGCAACCGGATTACAGTCGGGTCGCAATCGGCACAATGGGCTTTGGCACTCCTACAAAAGTTGTTTGCACACCACCCCCCTAAGGATTCTCGCCGTATGATGCAATTGATCCCAATTCTGGCTTTGCAGTGGCTTTCCGGGAGAGGTCGGAGAAGTTGCCTGCCAAGCTGTCCAACTCTTGTCAGGCTCCGCTCTTTGAAACTTGCCAGGGGCTGGACAGCTTTAGCCTATTCGGTGCAACTTGGGCAACTTGTGGTCCTCTTTGTGGTGACGTACATGTGGTCAGCTCAGTCTCTTTTAGAATTTTAGACGACATTGTTTTGTTGGTCAAGGCCACTAGGCCACTACCAGTACTGGCACTACAGCATTCCAATCGATGTAAGTCTAGTTGGCTCTGGCCTCTTTGATCTCAGGTGTTTCCTGGCACAGCCACGAGTCTTCTATGTCCTTGCAAGGGATGGCCTTTTGCCCAAGAAGTTCATGACTGAGTGCAGTGTGTAAACGCGTCAGTGACTATGTGAGGCTGTTGGGAAACATTGGGAAACATTGGGACCAAGAAATATGATTGCAGTGATGGCCAGGTTTGCAGACCTGGATGCAAAGGGCGAGCCATGGTTTGCCACGTTGATGTCACGACCTTGGCTTGGAAGATTCCCGTCGCTTCGCGACGAGCACGGACCGCACTACGTTATTAGGGGGCGGCTTTCGAAGTTGAGGAATATTGTAGCCAGATGTAGCCAGGGGTACGGGCTGAACCCGGACTTACTTGGGCCCAACCTAAGCCTACTTGGACCAAACTGGTCCGTACAAATGCTGATTGTATTGACTCGTGGAACCCACACTAAACTACCACGCTCCGGTACCTTCGGGGCTGGCGGATTTGTTGTCTCAGCTTCACTTGGCTTTAGCTTCACTCGGCCTAACCCGGCTCAAAGCAATTCAAAGCAGTGGAAGATCAACATGATCAAAGCTCAGGACCGGCTTGCTGGTCACAGCCTGCGGCGCACTCCTACCATTTGACACGCTTGCGAATGCCATTTCTGGAGGAGTTTGTGCACTTTGAATGCAGTTTGGTCTTTTCGTGTTTTTTCTGCTTTTCCATCTTTGTTTTGCCTCTTCAGGCTTGTGTTTCCCAACATGTTCTGAACGAGGGTGCCTGCTTGAGTGTCGTGTGTGCTTGTGATTTTTCTTAGATTGCCAAATCTACATGTTTGAGGTGAACTTCAACTTGGTAAACTGTAGCGTCTTGATGCTGCGCGGCACAGAGCTCAAGACTTACAGTACTTGCTCAGGAGTGAGACAAACTTAGACAGACTCACATGCGTTTTTGACTGCAGTCCTTAAGGAGAGAATCGAACAAGAATGGGAGTCCTGTGCTCAGAAGTGTTCAGAGTATGTCATTCAATGCTATTTCATGATATTTCTGCTTGCATGACTCACACTAGCTTCTTTAAGCTTCCCACGACCCCCCACGACTTCCGACGATTTCCCACCACTTCCATCATGAATGGCTGACTTATTTTGTTTCTGAAGCTTTGTCTGTGTGTGCGCGTGCAAAGAACACACCGCGTGTTTGATCAATTAGCGCGCATACCAATGCGGGCTGAACACCAAAAGCAGGCATTGTCAGCCATGTGGACGCAGAAGGCCACCAACAAGTACAATCAATACGTGCGTGCTGCAGGATTCTCCAGGACATACCATAGGCATCTGTAGGCTCTCGGTCAAAAATGGTGTAAAGCCGAGAATCATCAAAAAATATTTCTCAGTTTCACCCGAAAAGGGATTGCGGCCTTGTCCTTGAGATGTTTGCTTCCTTACTTGGAAGTCTTGGTGTCCATACCTCTGGTGTGTGTGTGTGCGTGTGTGTCTGGGGGGATTTGAAAAGGGTGGGTGGAAGCGCTGAAGAAAGGAAAGAATATGATTGGATACGATTGGATTGACGGATCCAAGGCCTTCACTTTTTCTCGCGGCAGCAGTGCTGTGGATCAACAAAGAAGCACAAACTTTTTTCGAAACAGTTCAAAATGCGTCTTGTCAACAGCAATATCGCTGCACCAGTATTGTGACACATAGAAGACAAGGCACAAAGAAAACACAAAGAAAACAGAAAACACGCATGAGTATTTACAATACAGAAATACAGTAGATTATGATACAGAATCATGCATAGTCTACATAGTGTAATAGTGAACATTGATGAACAATACAGTAGATCAGAATAGCTTTGAATTGAATACTAAGTACAGGTAGAAAGAGAACATGTCCAAAAGATGTCATGAGTCGCTCCAAGGTCAGCCTCGCTTCCTTCAATGGCTCTGCCCTTGCTGCAGCTCTGCTTCTTCGGTCTTTTGGCAGAGACATGCAGAGACAGCAGATGACATCAGATGACATCAGATGACATCAGATGACATAGAGGGCAGATGCATTTTTGGCAACACAGAAAGTTTCTCGTGCATCACAATGATTTGTAATATGTTGCGCGAGGCAAGTTCTGAAAAATGCCCATAGTGCAAAGCTAAGACGAGCAAAGTTTGTGCAGAGTTCACCCATTTAAAGTCAGGCAGTCACACTTTCTTCTTATTTGTTGTTTGTTGTTTGAGTTTCGTCTACGTTTGTCTACATCCTTGTGAAATCCCAGGCTTCCTTCTTTGGCTCCTTTTTGCTGCCTCAGCACTAGCTCTTATCATTAGCTTTGCTTCAGCCTCGGAAAAGGAACGAGGATGTGAGGATGAAACTTTCAAAAGCTGTGTCACCTGCAACGACGTCGTAAATTCAAGGAGCACAACTGCCTTCAGCACATTTGCCTAACCTGACTTGCTTTAGAGACTTCTGAGTATGTAGCACGCTTCCCTGAGTTGCTTGAATTATCCCTTGCAAATGCTTTGCGGCAAGTGCCTCTACTGTTTCAGGTCCTGCTATGGCGCTCGCTCCGACAGGCACGGAACTCTTGCAATCACATTGTAATCACATTGTAATCTTTTGTGCATCCAGTCACGCCCAGTTACGACAAATTACGCCCAGTACAATACTAGTATCTCCACTTTTTCCCTGTGGCATCTTATGTCCATCGCTCTGCAGGACCCTGCCCTAGCAGGCTCTCCGGAGACTCTGGCGCCTTGCCACATTTTGCAACATTTTGTCGTGTTCTTTACTGTTTGTTTTGTGTTGGTTGTCGTTCAGCTATCTACCTGCGCTCTGAAGTTTTTTCCCGCACCAATCCTACTCACTGTGCCAATAGAGTTAAAGAGAGAGGACCCAAGCGTGCCAAAGAGCGTGCTCCAAGGTTTTTTACAAAGTCCCCTTTGTACCTGCACTTCCTTGTTGTGCCTGGAGCCAAAGCCAGCTGCCACATTGCTGAAGCCGTTCAATGACTGTCAGTTTCTGCCAAATTTCTGCCTTTATTTTCGGGCACAGCGTAGCCGAGAGACTGAGGCAATGCTCTTCAACACAATCATGATTTCCTCTATGAAGGCAGGATGGATTGTTGGAAGTTGGACAAAGGGGGAGAGGGGTTGTCCGCTTGTTTTAGCTCAAAACCCTACGCTTCGCCGAAAGGGTGTGGACTTTCTGCTTCTGATGGCCTACTTGGCCATTGTTGTGGCTCGCCATGAGGTTGCGGCAGAATGTGCAACTGAGGCAACCAGTGCTAGATGAAATAGAGATCAGAATGAAATCAGATGTGATCAGTGAATGCAAGTATTCTATAATATTCTATAATGTTTCCCAGAAGAGATTCATTTTGCAGATGAACTTGGTAAAGTTGACATAAGTTGACAACTACTTTGAACTACTTTGCCGTGTGGATGCTGCGTTGCTGCGTTACCAAGGTCTGTCCGTATTTAGCAGTTGCGCATAGGAGGCGCGCGAGAGCAAGGCCAGGTCAATTCATCTCAGCTTTCAACAGCCAATTGGATTTAACATTGTTTTGCAGTGCCCTGTCTCCGGATGTGTCAGGTGTATAGCATGATGAAATAGCCATAGCTGTACTCCTCTATGCACAAAACTGCGCTTTCCTCCTTACTAGGCTGGTTTTTCAGTGGTTGGAGTTGACGTTAGCGCCAAAGGTTCTTCCCTTCATTTCCCTTCATTATCAATGACCAAAGGTCGTTGTTGTTGATGTTTTTCTGTCAATGGCCGACGGTCATGCGATTTTCATCGATTTTCAGTAAAGTCGCGGTGGAGGCATTGGGAGTTGCATATTTATACGTAAAATTTACAGTATAGCATTTTGCAGCCCCCTCTGATTCACATTTGCTCATTTGTCAAATGAATTTCTTGTTTTGTGCATCTTGTTGTCACTTGGTTTCTATGTCGTGCTCCGTAGACTCCTGCTCTCAGTTTTCGCCCTTCTTTCTTTCTTTTATATACATCGCTTGATAAAAATGATCCTTTGTTGGTGGCATTTTGTAACTGGCATTTGCTTGGCAGTTCCAACATGTTCCAACTATATCACAAGCAAGGAGCACATGTGGTGCCTTTGTATGCTCTTGTCACATGTCTCGCGCCAGAATGACTGACAACCGGTCCTGAGCTCAGAAAAGTGCTTGGAGATGCTTGGAGCTCGAGGTTTGCACAGGACATGCCACAAAGCCGTAGTGGGTTTGCTTTCGTTCGAGGTGTGAACTTATTCCATCTGGTAGCCATAGCTAAGGCAGGGCTAGTCAAAAAAAACGCTTCTGTGTACTGTAGCCGCTATCAAACTTTTCCGTTTGGGACCAGCAAACCTATGGTGAGGATTCTTTATTTTTTGCACTTTGGAGAACATGGTCACACATACACAGTCATTGAATGTCATTAAATCGAACGGACCAATGTTCTGAAAGCGGAGTTCTGATATCTTCTGATGAAATTTCTTTATGTTTCTTTGCAGGCCAAGGAGGTACCAGCAGTGGCACAGTTTGAGGATTTGGAACTCACTGACTGATGGATAGCAGGGCAGATGAGCAGTACTCCGTGTGAGAAGAGAAGAGTGACAGTACTGTCAGTACTGTCAGTACTGCGACGGCTCTGGACTTGGAGATGGGCCATTTGTACCCGAGCTCGCTGGCATGACTCCTTTGTCGAGCTTCAGCTGCCAGTCCTACCAGTCCTACCAGTCCATGACCTGAGAATCTGAGCGCTCTGAGAGGAGTTGGGCTGAAGCGTTTTCAAGTGGCGGTTTGGATCCGATAGCCCATTCGTTCCTGGAGATGTGGACAACAATGAGAAGGCTTTCCGAGCGGCGTGTGATTCATGATATTGGCAGCGCAAAATCAAACAAGGGGCCCGCGCACACACGAACAGCCGTTTTGAAGTCCCCGCCGGCTGTTGTAATTAGCAATCAAAGGATCCCAAAGGTCAAAAGCCACAGCAACAGACACTTGCAGTACCTTGCAATGACAGAATTGGATATTAAGATACATTAAGATATATTAAGAATCAAGATTATTAAGGCAGACTGTGTTCCAACTCCGTGCCACGTGTTCGTTTCCTGGTTCCACAGACAGATGGCAAGATTGTCCAGCATGAGCCCAATTGACACCAGCATACTTTGTCTCAATACTTTGCCCCTCTGCTGGTAGAAAGCAATGTTTTTCAAGAGCCTCTTTGATTGAGATTCTGTGTCGGTCATTTCATACAAACGAAAAACACTATGAGCCTTGCGGACGTGAGCAAGGGATACCAAAAGGAGCAAGAATCAACGCGCCGCAAACCATTGCTGTGTGCATTGGAGCGCAATGCCATGATTCTGCGCCTCAGAGGTTTGGAAAGAGGCACAGCACCACCCCACACCGACCTAGAGAAGGAACCGCATCTATGAATATTGCGGGCAATTGCGGGTACAAGATACAGTAGAACAAGTACATATACAAACACGCACACATTTGGCCAATACGATCCATTTGTTATATTATATATACGTGTATATGTATGTATATATATATATATGATTATACGTACTATATCATGTCATCATGCATCATGTCTTGTCAAATCAAGTTGAGAAGCAATCTTCTGAGTTACGATTCTAAGATACACAATCAATTTACATGTCATACTGTATATTGATGACAGTTTGCATCTTACTTGACAGGCTTATTGCATGACATACCGAGGTTCACATCTTACAATTCCATCTTACATTGCATCTTTATTTCCATCTCACGTTATATATATATAATTATATATGTGCATCTTGGCTGCATCACATCTCACTTCCTTGCTGCTCGGGAGAAGCCGGAGCGTGAAAAATGGTGTTCTTTCATACAAAGTTGCTGCCGCCGGCGAAAAAGGCACTTTGTGCCTACGGTTGCAAATCGCACGCGAACAGCAACGGCAAGGTTGCTACAGCATGTTACAGCATACTGCGCTGATCTCTGTATTTCAAGCGTGTGCGAATATATGCGAATATCATATGTGTATTTTTGTGTGTGTGCGCGCGTTTGTCCCAATATGCGTTGCAGATTGCAGAGGAATGGCTGCGCGCAGATAGCGCTGCTCAGTTGTCGATTTCTAGAAATGGTTCAAAGATGCGTTGTTTTATTTCCGGTGTCCAGAATCAGTTTCGGAGCAGGAAAACTTGTTGGCAGCGTGCTGACTTCTGTTGTGTTTTGCAAATTCTATTGGAATGCCTGCGTCAATGCTGGTGCTTGCTGCAGCTGCGTGCGCCATCGGAACTGCTGCAGCAAGCTTGCTGCGGTCCCTTTATGTTTTGCAGATCGGAGTGGGGCGAAGTAGGACCGGGAAGCGTCTTTGACTTTCCGAAGTAGTATTGACAAGTACCGTTGGGTTGTTTTTTATAGTACTGTACAGGTACAGTAGTATTGCAAAAGGCCTTTTGGCCCGGATGTGCGGAGCAATGGGAGCTTGAAGTAGACTAAGTAGACTATCGTGTGATGAAAGATGTGTTACGAGGTTAGGATGTTGGATGCATTGTGAACTTGAAGGAATTTAGTTTTGCACATTCTTCTTGTCTTTTCAATGTAATCTCATCTTCTCTGATCAGACCTTTCTGCATTTGGTTTCACCTTGTCTCATCCTCTCCCGTCTCATGTTGTTCCCTCGTCCAGTATCTGATTTGATCTCATTTCAAGATCTTATCGAATGCCATCTCGTTTGAAAAATATATATTTTTTCTCATCTCCTTCTCATCTCCTCTCATCCCAGAAAGACTGCCTTATCTGCGTTGTTTTAGCCTATCTTACCTCCTCTTTTCCTCTCCTCATGATGCAGGTTGCTAGCAAAGAAGGGCCGCGGTGGTTCACAAGTGGCTTGATAGCTGCGCATGAAAGTTCTGTAGATGTCAGGGTCTTCTATTATATCCTGACAGTAACTTCCGCCCCGCCTTGTGCGGGTACTCCTTTTATCCGTGCTTGTCGGACGATCGTTGTCTGCAAGGCTATGTTCAAAAAAGCTGCGAACGTTGCCTTCAAGGGCGAGACAAGGCCCGACACGACAATGTCGACACATGTCATGGCGATGTTTGGCTTCAATTGTTTGCGGGCATTCTCTGATACTGATATTGGAAGATCTTCTCAGATACTGCGGGCTTGCCTAGATATTGTAATTTTGTGTGTTGCGAGATGTAATGAGATGCAGCAACATGTTCTCAGATCTTGAAAGTCAGTACAGTATAAGATGCTGTGAGATGCAATAAGACATTGTCAGACAGGGCACGTTTCGATACTGCACGGCAGTCTAATTTGGCAAGATGAGGCGTGTGTTTTTTTGCTTTTTATTGGCCAGGATTCGTGGCAAAGAGAGCAAGCGCCTGCAGCAGGCCTCTCAAAAGAGATCAAGTATTGAAAGGGGCTGCAAGCACGTTCTTGTAAAGTCTCCCATCATGCAGTACTGCAGTTTCAAGGGAGCAAAACAGCTCCGAGCTTCAACTTAACAGAAATCATTGCGAGAACTTGTGAGAGGACATCCAGATTTCTTCCGTTTTGGTTGAAGCATCTTGAAGCCATTCTGCCTGGAGGCAGTGGCGCACATAGTGGGAGATGGCGGTGATGACATAGCAGCGGATCGGTGCTCGGCACAATTCGATCTCCATCCCTGGGATATATACTGAGTGAGCATGAGCGTATACAGATGTACAATATGTATACATGTGCATATGGTATACCTTGTTGTTCAATTTCACCAATTCACTGTCATGCCTTCCTACGCTTTGGTGGCTGTCAGCAATTTTCAAGGTTCTATTCCCAAACAAAGCCGACATTTTGGTTCGCAAGGCATGCCCCACAGATTCACTTGCTCACTGCTTTGACGTCCAGCAACAACATGAATTAACTGGTGGGATCTGGTGGGCAGAATGCCTTCAAGGCACTAGCGGATATATATATATAGAATGATCATAGAATTAAATATAGATATTACCAGAGCATCCAGAGCCATGACCTCGCATCCTTGGAAGGCAGGAGGTGGAAGCATAGCACAGTTCATCTTTGTCAACTCCGAATGTCTTTTTGCTCGCATCTCAGATGCGGACGTCCCTGCGCCGTATGTCGGCACTTCCCGCAGTTTTCTTTGAGGTTCAGCTTGATGGCAAAGCTGAGCTTGGTGCGGCAAGCTTCTGAGATGGAGCCGGAGAGAGATATCTGACTAACAAAATGCACACAATGGATCGCAGTGGCATGTTGCCAGTGGCCTGCGCATCTCAAAGAGGTGCCTAATTGAAGCAGATTGAAGCATTAAAGCATTTCCCATCTGTGAACGAGGCTGAACTCTTGCCAACTCTTCAGGCCCTGTGGCATGTGCTGGCCTCAGTGGGCTGTGGCATGCTGTGGCTGATTTACCCGTACCAATGGTCGAAGCTTTTGTCAGCACAGGTTGAGGCAGAAGCATTGCTTCCGAGTGTTGTCATTCAGAGGCAGGACAAGAGCGGTTGGTGCATTTGCAAAACACATGATGCTCGGCAAAGCGCTTCAAACATTCTTCGCCAGGCCAGTTGCAAAGTTTATTTTTGGAGGTGCCAATGTGATGGCTCGAATCTTGGAACCTGGGATCCTAAGATTGTCGTCACAGTGTAGGAACGCTGCCAACATGAAGACATGCCTTTTGCGCAAAGAATACGGCAGGGACACAGTGAAGACTGCCCTGACTTCAAGCTCCGGGAGTCCACTCCGTGTTGCCCCAAAAAGGTCGCATGCCGAGATCTGGCTTGTACTTAGTATATCTTTCGCATTGCTCAGATCGCTCGCCCAGATTGTCACTTTCCTCCTGTTTGCTCTTGGTCCTGGCTTGTCCTAGAAAAGCCACGTTTTGCCTATCTTTGGCCTTGGATTTGTTCTTGGTGGAATCCCTTGGATAAGGCCAATCCTTGCTCAAGGAGGGCTGCTTGGTGGCCATCCGTGCAGATGGCAATCGTGCAGCTGCAGCGGTAGGCAGGCTGCGCATGGCCCCAGGGGCTTTGGGCCCCGGATCGAAGCTGAGGGCTCAGCTGAAACTCGCAGACCCCAGGAAAGCATAGGAAAGCCGCAAAATAGGACATTTGGGTGACGTCTTTGCCACGAGAATCAAATCCAAAAGGCAAAGATGAACCATGCATTTTACATTGTTGTTCCGCGCGATGAACTCTAGTTGGGATGCTGTGAGCGTAGCCCCGCCAGACCTCAACCCTACACCAGGCAAGCTCTGGACAGCATGCCCCACCGGACCTTGACCCTATACCAAGCTTTCCTGTCTTCCCTATGCCAATCTCCCAGACTTCTGTGTGCCCCGCCGGGCCTCATGCCCATACTAATCCCGTGGACAGCTTGTCGCACACTTCGGTGTGCAACAAGCCAGGCTGCCTGCGGGATTGGCATAGCACCTTTCAGAGTAAATGTCAGGAGCATATGACACATGAGATTTGCTAGGGCAAATGTCAGAGCTGATGTCAGAATATACATGTGTCGGAAGATGTGCCACATCGAATGCATGCCGGAACATATGCCATACGCAACTTGCCAGATTTTATTGTCAAACTAATTACATGCCATGCCTGACGTCAGAGTGTACATAGGTCAGGATAAATGTCAGAATTTAGGTCAGAATTATGTGTAAGGATAAATATGTATATATATATGTTATATGTGTAAAAATATGTTTTTTGTTCGAACAGCATGTTTATCCCGCAGCGGGGATCACACAAAGTAGCGTCACTGCCCAGGGTCCTAGTCGTGCATTGAGTATATAGACGCAATAGACAATGGCTGACGGTTAGCAAATTCCAGGAACATGCAAGATGCCAGGCAAAGCATGTGTTGTCCCAATGCTGGTTCAATTTCTCCCAGAACGGCTCCATTGGCTTGATCATAGGCCTGCCAGGGGTCCCCGATCTTTCTGGCGGTTCCGCTTTCGGACGTTCAATGGAGTATGTGTGTGTGAATTGATTCTTCAAATTTATCCTCTTGAAGGCAAACAATTCAGCCCAAAGAAGCCGACTGCTGACTGATGTTGGACGTTCATGGTGCAATGCATCGTGTCAGCTTGTGTAGCAAGGTGGCCACATTCAGATTAGGGCGGGCCTGCATCCTCCTAGACAACACTTGTGAGAACACTGTCAAACAAAACAAACCCCGGTGGCATCCTTAACAGCAAAGGTGGCAGGAAAGGCACAAGAGCAGCCAATAAACCACCGCAACCCACACTGGAGCCTCCAGAACAAGCCCACCCCCAGACCCGCACCGGAACTTTTGGAAAGTCCCCGAACCTAAACAGGAATTCACGGAACCATCCTGGAACCCGCACCGGAAGTTGAGCTGCACCAAACCTTTGCTGAGACCCCGAAGCTAACGCTGTTGGGGAAAAAGGTCGTCGATGCAAAGGCCCCCCCTTGAGAGAATAAGTGCGCAGGCTGGCCTATCTTGAGCTTCTTGGATTTTCGCAAAGCTCGTTGCATTTTCGAATAGAAAGAGCCTGTAGAGGTCTGTCAGATATGATCTTTCAAAAAACGAGCAACCGTGCCCCTCCCATCATCAGCCAGTGCTCATTTTGGTGACAGTTTTTCATTCTGAACCATGTTGCATGCGGGCCCTTGCTTGTCTAAGGGGAGAGGCCGTCGAAGTTCTTCACTATTTTGGCGATGCGCTCTGGGAGGCCCCGGAATGCTCTGGAGGGTTGGAGGGGCATGTTCTGAGTCACGTTCCAAGCCATGACTTGACCATTTTGCTCTGCTTTGTTAAATGAATGGTATTGGAATTTGTGATAGGTTGTTTGATCTATATTTTGATATCTTTTCCTAATGTTTGCCTTGTTTATCTTTGCAGTGAAGTTCAAGACCAGTGATCACGTCTCAGAGCCCCCTAAGACACGGAGATTCTGAAGAAGCGGGTGCTCCACTGATAGTTGATCCGGACGCACCTGCGACAGACTCACAAGCTGTGAGCGAAAGCGCTTGGCTATTTCGACCTGGCGTTTTCAGCGTTGTGGAAGCAGAGGAGGGCAGGAACTGTGAAGCTGGAAGGCGATGATCAGCAAACAAATGGGGCCGTGGAGTTGCCAGCCTACTAGTTACGACTTGACTGACATGAACACGAGATGGTGCAAAGAACAGCTCGACCGTTTTGTTCCGAAAACGGGCCACGCGCTCTAGTTTGACTGCGGCTGGCTGCCGGGCCTTTCTTTTGCTGCCTTCATAAACCCAGTTGCATCTCCAAATCTTGAAGCCTCAAGTTTTGCTCTGTCCAGGCCATGGGAAGTCCAAGGCCTGCTGGATTTGTAGGCCTGGCGAAAACCACAAGACTGTCAATTCTTGTTTCTGTGCTCCACAAAGCGTTGTGTTTGGAGTGAATGGGTGCTTTTGAAGCATTGTTTTTGCTGCTCCCTAGGTGATCAAATCCATGCTACAGAGGGTCCGGAAGATGAAGAGGGTGAAAAAACACCAGACAAAGGCAGCCCACCTGAAGCGGAGAAGGCGACAGAGGAAGATGGAAAAGATGAAGAGTGGGAACCTGAGCACATCAAATTGCCATTAGAATAGCCTAGAGCATCTCAGACAACTTGGACAAGTCGGTTCCAATCGATTTCTACGTTTGCTTTGTCCCATCGCCCATTGCTGCATCCACGTCACCAAGCTTCTTACTGCTTAGGACTGATGCCGACATGGTTGAGAAATTGGAAGCTTGCCTGTTGCAGGCAACGTTTCAATTTAGCAAAAATTGGGTGCAGAACGGCATGTCCTTCTAGGAATATGTTTCCAGTATCTCATTGTGAGGAGTGCGGATGCGCTATAGATCACATGTAGAAAGTTTAAGGTAATTGCAGCGAGAGATTCCGCGTACTCATGTTGCTCGCGACTACGTTGCATAGGTTTCTGGGTCAGTTTACTCTTGCGTTCCAAGGTCAAAGATGAGATTAAACATGGAAAATGCATGAAAATGCCAATCATTTTCCTAATGATCAGAATTTGAAAGTACCAGCAGTGATATTACTTGGTACACGTGCTTTCTCCAACTGCTAGACACGCTTTCCCTCGAATCCTCTTTACTGTGCGTCACACAGTTTCCTTTTTCCAACCTATTCACCCCATTTTCTGTGATCTCTGGACACCACAAGCCAAAGGCCTTGAAGACACGAATCAAGGATCGTGATTTGTCCGGCGCCAAGCATGCCGTGATATGCCGTGGCTGAGTGTATGTTGAAAGCCAGGTTTGCTACCCACCCACCCACCCAACGAGATATCCGCACACTTACACGCACAGCGCTGATCACATATGGAAGTGCCATCATCATGTCGTTGTGTGGTGCGCGGTATGTTTTTGAATTCCTCACGTTGAGTGCAGCTGGCATGACCTAGGGGCAAAAGTGTACATCCATGGTCCCAAGCAACAGCGTGTCAAGTCAAAACGGCGACAAGTCAAAATGTAGCGGGCAGGTCGCCAAGTTTGAAATCGGCAGATCAAATAGGTGTCCTCGTTGTGAGCGTTCCCAAGTTATCTGTTGCTACCACCTACATCCGCAACACGCCCAGTCACCACTGCATGATTGAAGTTCAAGACAAATGCCACAACAGGCCCGAACATGCAATTATTACGACTTGTAACGCGGTGCACACATGGAAACCGTTATAACATATTATAACTCTCATTGACCAATACGGAAAATTTATGAACAAATTAGATAGGTTTGCTGCTCTGGCGAAAATTACACATCGCATGGCCTTGTCAAGTTTGCTATGACATGCTATGACTATCACTCCTCTGCAGACATGCATAATTTGCTGCATAATACAATGAAATGCTGCATAATCCTGCAAGTTGCAACGCATGAGGCCACTAGCAGGAAACACTTTGTATGCGCAGCATATGCGACCATGCAGGACAGATTTCGAGAGGTGGCGATTTACAGCATTTTCTTTGGCGCACTTGTCCAGTGAAACCATAATATAATGATATATAACTGTATAATATCGTATGTATATATATACACATATACGTATTGTGTATATATATATGTATATACTCATACATACACCAGTAGTACCGCACTAGGCGGCAGAAGTTTCAAGGATAGGACACTATAGGAGAGGTGAGTTGTTGTGATGCGTGGATGGCAGAGCGAATCCACTGGTGGACCGAAAGGTGGTTGGAGTTGTGCTTTTTGAGTGGTTGCAATGGTTGCAGTGGTCACCTCACTCACAACTCCTGGATGTAGTGTGGTGTTTTGCAGTAGCTGTAGTTGTAGTGTAGGGGGGTTGATGTTGTTGAAGTTGTAATGTTGTAGCTGTAGTTGTAGTTGTAGTCTGTAGTTGAAGTGTAGTTGAAGTTGTAATTGTCTTAATTCTAGTAATTGTAGTATTTGCAATAGCTGTAGGAGTTTGTAGGAGTTGTAGTTGTAGTTGCAACTGTAGTTGTAGTGTAGTGTCGTGGTAATTGTTGTTGTAGTAGTGTAGCTGAAGTTGTAGTTGCAGCTGTAGCTGCAGCTGTAGTTGCAGGTGCAGTTGTAGTGTAGTTGTAGTAGCTGTTGCAGTTGTAATTGTAGTTGCAGTTGTAGATGTAGTGAGTGGCCCTTGTACTGTAATTGTAGTTGTAGTAACTGTAGTTGAGGCTGTAGTTGTAGTTGAAGTGTAGTTGAAATTTTAGTTGTGGATGTAGCTGTAGTTCTTGTAGTTGAAGTGTAGTTGAAGTTGTAGTTCTAGTGGTAGTGTAGTTGAAGTTGTAGTTGTAGTGTGGCGTAGTGCAGTTGCATTTGTCTATATCTATATATATATGTGTGTGTGTGTCTATCTATTTGTCTTTCTGTTTATCTATCTGTCTATCTATCTATCTGCAAGTTTGAAAACGAAGCTATTCTGCGAGAAGTCCTCAATTTTTGAACTTGACAACATCAAAAATGTAGTTATTCTGCGAGACTTCCTCAACTTTTGAACTTGACAACGTCAAAAACGGAACTATTCCACGAGACTTCCTCAATTTTTCAAGTTGACAACATCAAAAACGAAGCAATTCTGCGAGACGTCCTTCAAAAATGGAAAGTTGAGTGCAGAGCTGATGGCCTCGTGCCAATGGGTTTTGCGATTTTTCCAGTCCACATGTCTAAAGTGCTGCGCCTGCCACGTACAAGCGCTGCCAAGTCATACGAAGTGCTGCACCTGTCACGCAAAATGATCTCAGCAAACCTGAAGATCCGATGCTCCAAAATGCAACCTCTCTCAGGAAATCAGCGCCCTGAGCTGCTTCGAAATGTGCTTCGCGCCACAACGGCGTGCACTTTTTCGACATCTCAACTTCCAAATTTGCTCCGAAGCTGGTGTGCTTTGTACAGTTTGACTTGGAAATGTGCTTCGCGCCACAACGGCGTGCACTTTTTCGACATCTCAACTTCCAAAAGTGGTCCGACGCTGGTGTGTTTTGTACATTTTGACTTCGAAATGCGCTGCACGCCACTACGGCGTGCAACGCTTCATCTCTCATCTGGCCAGATGGCTCCGCACCCGCCGCTTTAGCGACCCTACTTTTCGACCCTCCGGAACCACAAATGATTGGAAAAACACCGTGTTTCGCGACTTTCCTACTGTTCTTTCTTCTGAGTTTCTCTTCTTTGATTTTCTTTCTTCTTCTCTTCTCTTCTCTGACTCTTCCCATCTCTGCTTTTCATCTGTCCATATTGTCGGAAATTTGACTTCTAAACTTCCTTCGATTATATGGTTGGCTATTTAGTTTTTTTTATTTGTTTGTTTGGCCTTTCAAAACACCTGGTTTAAACAAATTGTTTTCAGCATTCTGCAATGCTTGGTTTGCAATAACCCTTTATGAGGGAAAAACAACCGTTGCCTCTTTGCTGTAAAACAAATCAACCAAAAATACAAGACAAATTCCCGAAGATTTGGAAAGGAGGCTGGCTAGATTATGGCCTGGGCATTGCGCCAACACGAATTGTAGCGTCCATCTTGGGCATGCACGCATATGGTTCTCCACATTCCAGTGCGAAATTGATGGTTGGGCACATGCCGTCCTGTCACGTTTATCCCATGTTTTCGTGTCAAATTACCATTTAGAGTCTAGAGAGAATTCTTTGCCATACCCATTATGGGTCATTGTGGGCCGATGTGAAGTCAGTTTGACAATCCAAGAATCATCGGGGCATGAATTGCGTTAATTGGAGAAACCGCTGAACTTTGCGTTCGAAGACCATTGGAAAAGATTGGCAGATAGGAACCAGAACACAAAGCCACAGACTATCTCTTCCTTGTAGCCCGGTAGAACTGAAGAGAACGACTATAATTAACCCCTCAACATCAAACCAGTCATGGATCAGGAGAGCAGGATGGAATGTTGATGTCAAGGTGCCTCCGCAGTCTACAAATGAGTGTTTTTCTAATTCAACTCTTGAAATCTTGCCAACATTGGAAGGTCGCGCCTTTCAAGAAGCTGTCTGCATTTCTTTCACATGCTGAGGACCGGAAAGACATGCAGCTGATGTCTGACATGTGATGACATGTGATGACATGTGATGACATGTGATGACATGTGATGACATGTGATGACATGTGCAGCTGACCCAAGATATCCAGAGTTCCCCTTAGTATGTCGAAGACGGAGGCAAAGGGTTGAAGCAGTGTCTCCACTTTACTGGACCAACTGTTGAGAAATTATTTGATGGGTGGATCTCGGGGTCTGGATCGAAGGGTTTTCAGTATCACTTCCCATCTGCGCCTTTTGCCTTCATCATCAAAAAGCATGATACACTTAGTTGACAAAACAAAAAGGCAGATACCAATTGCAGCATATTACAGCCAACAAATATCAACCATGTTCAACAACATTCCACAACCAATGCAAAGATTTCAAGCCCTTCGCATGAATTCCACATGACCTTGGAGGAGCAAGGCTGGCTTGCCCTAAAGAAGAGTTCTGCGGATCCAATTGTGACAAGGTCTCAGAGAGAGTTTCTCTCAGTTTGTAGAGAAGGGACCGATTGCTTTCATGGATGTTTTTGGTGGAATGTGTTTAGCTGTGCTTTGCTCTGCAGGATATTTCGAGATCACCCGGACTTGATCCAGTGGAAGCCATGGCCAAAGGAGGTTGTTGCCCAAGTGCAGCGTTTGTTTTTCGCCAAGAAACCGCTTAGCTTCCTTCACTTGCCCGACTCTTTAACATTTCTTCGGACAGTACATATCCATATTATTCACTATAATTCATTATTTCGAAAGCCAGCCGGGAAGCTGGCTAGTTGTTATTTGCGAACGAAGTGAGAATAGGGGGTCTGGGGGGAGGTAACTGCCTCAAGGGGCCGAAAACGGCGTAAATAGGTGGTGTTTTAGGGTCACGCAAAGTATGGTTTTGCAGGGTAATGTACCAGGCGGCAAAACAGTGACGGTGGGTATCGATTCCCACTAGGTCCTGTTTTCTGGGGTTTTCTGGGCTCAGTCAATGGACAGATAGATGGGCCAGCTAGTTAGAGGAGATTGGAGAGAGAAGGACATTGGGTGAAAAGTATGTGCAAGAAGGGTTTCTGGGTGAAGAGTCTCTGGGTGAAAAGTATATGGGCTAAAAGTATGTGCAAGAAGAGTTTCTGGGTGAAGAGTCTCTGGGTGAAGAGTATATGGGTGAAAAGTACGTGCAAGAAGAGTTTCTGGGTGAAGAGTCTCTGGGTGAAAAATCTGTGCAAGAAGAGTTTCTGGGTGAAGAGTCTCTGGGTGAAAAGTATATGGGTGAAAAGTACGTGCAAGAAGAGTTTCTGGGTGAAGAGTCTCTGGGTGAAAAATCTGTGCAAGAAGAGTTTCTGGGTGAAGAGTCTCTGGGTGAAAAGTATATGGGTGAAAAGTATGTGCAAGAAGAGTTTCTGGGTGAAAAGTCTGTGCAAGAAGAGTTTCTGGGTGACAAGTATGTGCAAGAAGAGTTTCTGGGTGAAGAGTCTCTGGGTGAAAAGTATATGGGTGAAAAGGATGTGCAAGAAGAGATTCTGGGTGAAGAATATATGGGTGAAAAGTATGTGCAGGAAGAGTTTCTGGGTGAAGAGTATATATCTGGGTGAAAAGTGTATGGGTGAAAGGTATGTGCAAGAAGAGTTTCTGGTGAAGAGTCTCTGGGTGAAAAGTATATGAGTGAAAAGTATGTGCACGAAAAGTTTCTGGGTGAAGAGTCTCTGGGTGAAAAGTATATGGGTGAAAAGTATGTGCAAGAAGAGTTTCTGGGTGAAGAGTCTCTGGGTGAAAAGAATATGGGTGAAAAGTATGTGCAAGAAGAGTTTCTGGGTAAAGAGTCTCTGGGTGAAGAGTCTCTGGGTGAAAACTATGTAGAAGAAGAGTTTCTGGATGAAGAGTCTCTGGATGAAAAGTTTTTGGGTGAAAAGTATATGGATGCAAAGTATGTCCAAGAAGAGTTCCTGGGTGAAGAGTCTCTGGGTGAAAAGTCTCTGGATGAAAAATATGTGCAAGAAGAGTTTCTGGGTGAAGAGTCTCTGGGTGAAAAGTACATGGGTGAAAAGTATGTGCAAGAAGAGTTTCTGGGTAAAGAGTCTCTGGGTGAAAAGTATATTGGTTAAAAGCATGTGCAAGAAGAGTTTCTGGGTGAACAGTCTCTGGGATGAAAAGTATATGGGTGAAACGTATGTGCAAGAAGAGTCTCTGGGTGGAAAGTATATGGGTGAAAAGTATGTGCAAGAAGGGTTTCTGGGTGAAGAGTCTCTGGGTGAAAAGTATATGGGTGAAAAGTCTGCGCAAGAAGAGTTTCTTGGTGAAGAGTCTCTGGGTAAAAAGTACATGGGTGAAAAGCATGTGCAAGAAGAGTTTCTGGATGAAGAGTCTCTGGGTGAAAAATCTGTGCAAGAAGAGTTTCTGGGTGAAAAGTCTGTGCAAGAAGAGTTTCTGGGTGAAAAGTATATGGGTGAAAAGTATGTGCAAGAAGAGTTTCTTGGTGAAGAGTCTATGGGTGGAAAGTATGTGGGTGAAAAGTATTTGCAAGAAGAGTTTCTGGTTGAAGAGTCTCTGGGTGAAAAGTATATGGGTGAAATTTATGTGCAAGAAGAGTTTCTGGGTGAAAAGTCTGTACAAGAAGAGTTTCTGGGTGAAGAGTCTCTGGGTGAAAAGTGTATGGGTGAAAAGCATGTGCAAGAAGAGTTTCTGGGTGAAGAGTCTCTGGGTGAAAAGTCTGTGCAAGAAGGGTTTCTGGGTGAAGAGTCTCTGGGTGAAAAGTATATGGGTGAAAAGTCTGTGCAAGAAGAGTTTCTGGGTGAAAAGTCTATCTGTGAAAAGTATGTGCAAGAAGAGTTTCTTGGTGAAGAGTCTCTGGGTGAAAAGTATATTTGTGAAAAGTATGTGCAAGAAGAGTTTCTGGGTGAAGAGTCTCTGGGTGAAAAGTATATGGGTGAAAGTATGTGCAAGAAGAGTTTCTGGGTGAAGAGTCTCTGGGTGAAAAGTATGTGCAAGAAGGGTTTCTGGGTGAAGAGTCTCTGGGTGAAAAGTATATGGGTGAAATGTATGTGCAAGAAGAGTTTCTGGGTGAAAAGTCTCTGCAAGAAGAGTTTCTGGGTGAAGAGTTTCTGGGTGAAACGTGTATGGGTGAAAAGTATGTGCAAGAAGAGTTTCTGGGTGAAGAGTCTCTGGGTGAAAAGTCTGTGCAAGAAGAGTTTCTGGGTGAAGAGTCTCTGGGTGCAAAGTATATGGGTGAAAAGTATGTGCGAGAAGAGTTTCTGGGTGAACAGTCTCTGGGTGAAAAGTATAGAGTCTCTGGGTGAAAAGTATATGGGTGAAAAGTATGTGCAAGAAGAGTTTCTGGGTGAAGAGTATATGGGTGAAAGTATGTGCAAGAAGAGTTTCTGGGTGAAGAGTCTCTGGGTGAAAAGTATGTGCAAGAAGAGTTTCTGGGTGAAGAGTCTCTGGGTGAAAAGTATATGGGTGAAAAGTATGTGCAAGAAGAGTGTCTGGGTGAAGAGTCTCTGGGTGAAAAATATATGGGTGACAAGTATGTGCAAGAAGAGTCTCTGGGTGAAGAGTCTCTGGGTGGAAAGTATATGGGTGAAAAGTATGTGCAAGAAGAGTTTCTGGGTGAAGAGTCTCTGTGTGAAAAATATATCGGTGAAAAGCATGTGCAAGAAGAGTTTCTGGGTGAAAAGTCTGTGCAAGAAGAGTTTCTTGGTGAAGAGTCTCTGGGTAAAAAAGTACATGGGTGAAAAGCATGTGCAAGAAGAGTTTCTGGATGAAGAGTCTCTGGGTGAAAATCTGTGCAAGAAAAGTTTCTGGGTGAAGAGTCTCTGGGTGACAAGTGTATGGGTGAAAAGTATGTGCAAGAAGAGTTTCTGGGTGAAGAGTCTCTGGGTGAAAAGTCTGTGCAAGAAGAGTTTCTGGGTGAAGAGTCTCTGTGTGAAAAGTATATGGGTGAAAAGTATGTGCAAGAAGGGTTTTTGGGTGAGAGTCTGTGGGTGAAAAGTCTATGGGTGAAAAGTATGTGCAAGAAGAGTTTGTGGGTGAAGAGTCTCTGGGTGAAAAGTATATCGGTGAAAAGTATGTGCAAGAAGAGTTTCTGGGTGAAGGGTCTCTGGGTGAAAAGTATATGAGTGAAAAGTATGTGCAAGAGTTTCTGGGTGAAGAGCCTGTGGGTGAAAAGTCTATGGGTGAAAAGTATGTGCAAGAAGAGTTTCTGGGTGAAGAGTCTCTGGGTGAAATGTATATCGGTGAAAAGTATGTGCAAGAAGAGTTTCTGGGTGAAGAGTCTCTGGGTGAAAAGTATGTCGGTGAAAAGTATGTGCAAGAAGGGTTTCTGGGTGAAGAGTCTCTGGGTGAAAAATATGGGGAAAATAGGGGTAGATGGGATGCTGGCTTTCGTTCCCCCCTTCTCCTTTAGTTCGTTATAACTCATTATACTTCATTACAATTCATAGATGTCCTGCCAGCAATGCATGTCGTTCAACTTCGTCGTTTGGCATTTGAGGTGACTGCCGAGGCCGAGGAGCCCAAAGGCAGGTCGCAGAATGTCGCAGAATGTCGCAGATTCTTTACATTTTTGTTTGGGGCATGCTTGGGGTGACCTGAGGTGACCTGAGGTGACTTGAGTGTGTTCGTGTGCATAAGAAGGGGCTCAGTTTTCCGGCGTACAGCGACATGCCAGGCACGCAAGAGCCTTCTTCGTTGGCGTCTGCTTCGATAAAGGTAGGGGAGTTTCAGGTGTTGCGTTTGCCTATCAAGGGCACTCCTCGTTGAACATCTCTCAGATTGAAGTGGTTTGGCGAATTGGAAAGCTGAAGCCCTTGCTGGAGGCACGCAGCCACTGCCATCCATCATATGCACTCACTGTCACGCTGATTGGATTCAAATCTTCAACTACATGCAAAGTTTCCATTCTGTGCCTGGCCACAATTGTTTGTTTTAGCAGGCACTGAAGCTTGAAGGGCCAGCAGATGGATGCTGGACAAAGGAGGACTGCCAGGAACCCAGTTTGAACTTTCGAGCTTCGGAACTTGACATTCTGCAAAGAACGAAGATTCCTAAGATTTCCCAAGTACTCACAAAAACAGCTCTGCAAGGCACGGAGGCTCTCAAGTCTTATGCCGACAGCAACACGCTCTGGTGCGCCGGCAATGCGACAGTTCATATCAGTTCAAAAGAGCTGGGAGTGGCAGACATATGATGAACATATGACAAACTGATGCAAACTGTACATTGATCAATGTTGCTTGCCATGCTTTGTGTGCGTCAGGTTGAAGAACAATCGCAAGCGAATTGGCCCGGATTCATTGCTGTGCAGCCTGCTTGATTCCGAGCCACAGGACCACCAAACCCAACAGAACGTCAAGATCGGATGATTTGAAGAATCTTAAAGATGTTTAAAGCTGCCAGCAGGAACTGCGTATAGCTGGATTATGCTGATTATGCTGGATGCCATATTTACAGATATTTACAGATTCTTCGGACTGTCAGATAGTGAGGCTGTCCAAGTCTAGTGTGGAACAGAATTGTGTAGACAACTTGTGTCAACGTACAACTTGCCGCCCTGTACCTGCCAGCAATGCATTCGGATGCACTCGGCAGGCTTCGTCCAGCGGATCTGGATTCTCCTTAGAAGGTCTTGTTGACCATGTGGTCAGGACACTGCCAAGACACATCAGAAATGCGGAGTTTCCTGCTGTAAGTGACTTTTGTTGCAAGAACACCTGTGCAAGGAGTTTGCCGTTGTGCCACAGAGTGACTGCTCCGTACTTGAGCTTGGCATCAAATGAGTCACACAGAAGCATTTTTGGATGCAATCGCTCCTCCATGTCCTCATGATTGTCTTCATTTCGCTTCATCACCCAGCGCTTCTGCTCAAGGCAAGGTGGTGCTGCCGGGGGCGTCAAGTGCTATGTTCGTCCTGGGAAACCTCCAGTTGTGCAGGTTGAAGACTTGGATAGATGAGATTGAACGATGCAGATTGACAAGGTCTGACAAATTAGGCTATCAAATTTATCAAGATTTTGTCCAGATTGACTTATTCATGTATGTGTCCCTGTCTCTGTGCATGTGTATGAGTATGTGCATGGTATCGTGCAATATCATACCATGTTGTGGTATAATTTGATCTTGTATGATATGATCTAATATGATTTGATATAATGATATTATAATATTGCCATCATATGATATTATATGGTAGGCGCGTATGTGTATACTGTATACTTGTATCTGTATATACGTATGTACGTATGTAGGCATATATGCATGCATGCATGACAATGTATGTAAACAGATGAATCCGCCATGCCAAAAGAAAGCACTTCAAACAGCTCTGCCCGCCAGAAGAAGCCCTCTCAGGTCCGCACAGATACAAGACGAGGTCATCATGTCACCTTGATCCACGGACTGGAGGCAAATACACTTTGACAATTACGGTTCATAGTTTGGCACACTTGCAATGATTGCTGGGGCAGCTTTTGTGCTACCCATACTCTTGGGCATTTCTTGCAGCGTAAGGGCAACCTGGTGATGATCTATTGCAGCCTGCAAGATCTGCAAGCAAATTTGCAGCCATTATGAAGCCATTATGAAGCCATGGGATGGATTCGCCTCCGCACTGTTCAACAGTTTTATGCTTTCACATTTCAGATTCTCTTAGACATTCTTTCAGATATTCTCTCGGGCAGTGCAGCGTACACTGAAGGCACAAAAGGATGCAAAAGGCGTCACCACTAGATCCATTAGAGATGAAGTTGCAAATTGTTCCAGTATGTAACAGCAGTATGATCAGTATGTAACAGGTAACTTCCAAACGACCTGAGCACCATGGAAACACCATAATTCTGTGAATCGCGGCATGGACGTGCTCGAGAAGCCTCCACCCCAAAGGCCAGACGAGCGGACAAAAGAAGGAAAAGCAAGAAGTTTCTATCAACTTCCAATGTACCACAATATATCGTAGTGTAGTCTCCTGTTCGCTTTTTGAAGAGACATTTTTAGCTCCTTGTCCTGTCAGGAAGACATTATTTTAATGCAGTAAGTATGCTACTTAGGTCCCAAGAGTTTTTGCAAACATTGAAAGCTGTACTTTGTTTTTGACAGGTGTCGCCGTAGTTTCATCACGGTTTCGTCCGTCTCTGGTGAAGGCAGAAGCTTGACGTGTCCATTGCTGATCTCCGCGAGTCGCTGGCTGCGCCAGGGTCCGGTTCACGTGAGACATGGACACAATGGACGCAGAGGGGGCAGTGAACGCAGTGGACGCAGTGGACGCGGTGGACGCAGTAGCACAATGACAGCTGAGCAGCGTTTTTCCTCAAACAGTGTGTCCACACTGAGGGGTTCTTACGGTAGGTGTTAAGGCCGGGGTACGCCATCTGCTTTGCGGCGTTTTTGCTGTAAATTCTCGCGTAAAATGGCTTTTGTGACATGTCCATGTGCATTTCGACTGCGCAGTCTCGCACAAAGTCTGCGACGCGACTTTGGGGCGCAGATGGGCGCTGCATTTTTGTTGTAAATTGTCGCACAAAACGGCTCTTGCAAGATGTCCATGCGATCATTTGCCACAAATAGTTGACAGAAGTTTTGTACTAGTTGATACTTAGTGCGAATCTAGTCTTTTTTCTCTTCGTTGTGAGGCGGCATGCAACTAAATTCACCAATTCTGCAAGGCAGCGCTAGCAAACCCCTAGGTTTGCGCTTGTTACTGTATTATAAATATCCATGTTCAAAGACTTTTGTATGTGTTGCCAACTGCATTTCAACATGAAGAAAAATAAGATATAACACTTAAACCTAAGGATGTCTTACTGAATTTCTGTGCTACTCAACCTTTTTCCGATGGATTGGAGTGACATTGAGGTCAGCCAAGAGGCCTAGATCTAGATAGGTCGATCTCTTCCCGGCTTTCAGAGACGGAGAGAAGCTGCTGCTCGCATAGCCTTTGAAATCCCGGCAGACAAGTGCCGAAGGTAAAAAGGCGAGGAGAGTCGGTGAGAGGGAATTACGCAAATCGAGTCCTTACAAAAGAAATGAAAAGCCTGACACCTGTAAAGTGAAATAGACGTCAGGCATCTAAAGGCTACGTCAAAGACGTCGGCCCTTCAGAAAGACATCTGGCCAGAGAGGTGAGCTCTGGTCAGGTTCAAGGGCGATTTGCGCAACCCTGTAAAATAAGAATGCGCGATGCTGGCAGAGTGAGCGCAGTGACGTGAAATGTGCAAAGCACAGAATGACATGGAGTGAATGTCCCCAGCAACATCGGCTTGAACCAACGTGTTTCTGCCCGCCATCCATCAGGCATCTGAAGGCTACGTCAAAGACGTCGGCCCGTCAGAAAGACATCTGGGCAGAGAGGTGAGCTCTGGTCAGGTCAGGTTCAAGGACGATTTGCGCAACCCTGTAAAATAAGAATGCGCGATGCTGGCAGAGTGAGCCCAGTGTCACCCATTGATTGTTCTGCTTGCCTTTGCTCTTGCCGGCATAGTATTCCTCCATGGGCTGTTCAGCTGCAGCTGCATCGGCGTTGGAGGTGGCTTCATCTTGCTGTCCCTGTTGAGTCCTTGTTGAGCTCCGTCTTCATGTCACCCGTCTTCATCATAGCACCATTCACCAGACTCGTCGTAGTAGACCTCGTCAGGCTCATAGTACCATTCCTCGTAGTCGCCGTCGTCGGCATATATAGTAGTTCCGGCTCCAGTCAGCTTCATCTTCATGCCAACCATCGTACCAACTGCGCATCATCGTCCATGTCCTGCTCATAGTTCTCGTTGTAGAACACGTCACCACCATCGTGTTCCATGCGTTTTTTTTGACAGTCTGAGGGCCCACTGCCTGGCATCTTGGAACCTGCATAGTCCCCTTGCACCTGCAGCTTGATGTTGTCCACCGTCTTGTTGGACAGGCCGGAGTCTTTGAAGAACAAGTAGAATTTGGCAATGTCGTTCATCAACAAGCCAGCACGATCATGAGCTTTGTCAAAACGTGCTTCAAGTTCTACTAAGTTCTACGGAGTATTCGGCCGACGACATTTTGCTGCGAGTCAAGCTGAAGAACTTGCCCAAGGCTTGAGTTGCAAGATCTTGATCCTGTTGTCCAAAATGCTTGCCTGAGGGCGTTGATGAGGAACTGGACACCGCTCGGGATATGTGGCTGGATCACCTACCTGTCACTGGGTCATGAGCTTCGTCCACAGCCAAGCGCACAAGCGCTGCGTCCCTGATGTCCATGGTTCCGTCGGGACGTGGAACCTTCAATGCCATAGCCAGTTTCGATGCCCTTCCATAGAGCCTACCCGCTATGAGCGGGCCTATCATCTCGTCCTCCACACCGGCTATTCTGTACCATAGTCGCAACTTCTCCAGGTACTCCTTCAGCGGGTATAGTTGGGGTTACCTGGCATCCATCCCGGCGGAATGTCGACTCTTGGAGAGGCACCGTGCCAGAATTGCTTGGAGGCTGATGCATGATGACCAAGAGGATGCACAGGAGTTGGTCTTCTTCAGAATGCCGTAGGGCTGGATCAAGTAGATGGCAACAGTGAAGATGGGGGCAAGGATGTTCACAAGTTTGCACTTGTCCAGAACGTAGGGGACGAAGGCTGCAAAGCTCAGCAGGTAGATGATGGTGTCAAAGTCCAAAACACCAGAACGTAGAGCAAGAGGGCCAAGAGGCAGCAGATGATGATCAGGCCCAAGTCCCAGAGCTTGGCAAAGTAGAGATCCAACACCTTCGCCGTGGCCACCACACTAGGATCACAAAGTCCAGAGAGTAGGGCCCGTTCTCCACTCCCACCAAGCCAGCCGCGCTTGCACGGCAGCTGCGAGGTCGCAGCAGCAGCCACCGAACAAATGGCGAGCGACGGGCGCCCGGAAGTAGCAAGCCCCAATCCAGGGCTCCGCTACCAAACCCAGTTTTGAACCACTCAAGGGATCCCTGCAGTCGGCCTGACAAATGTACACTTCTATGATTTGCGCGTGTCATCCTTGCACATGTAAAAACTCACTCAGGCACTGCCTCGCGAAGGCAAAGCTATTCCGCAAAGCTGCGCGAAGCCAACCTGTGCACAAATCCATGCCTTGCGTAGCCTCTAGCGAAGCCCCCCTGTCAGTGTCTAGGCCTCCAGCAGCCCAAAAAAACGGCTTTTCAAGATGCCATAGAACGCTGAATGCCATGGAATGAAATGAAGGAATGCAACATGACGCAACAAAGGGGCGCATGTTGTGCAAAGTGCCTATGATGCCCTGAGGTGCTCAGATGAGGCTACACGGGGCACATGGGCAGACAAACTGAAACTCAAGGCTTGCAGGGGGCTGAATTCAGACTGGGCCAGCCTCCTGCCTCAGTGCATGCTAGCAATATGCAGTATATGTTATGTGTATGTGTGTATGTACGTATATATAATGTGTATAATAATGTGTATAATATGTGAAGAATTGTCAAGACATGAATATATGTGAATGATGCGTGGATGTATATACTATACACCGACATTCCATGCGTGCTTGAGCTTTCCGTGAAATAGTTTCATAAGACAAGGGTTCTATGGTTTGCTGTTGCTGGGTCCCCAGAACAAATCGAGTAAAAACAATAAAGCATGGTAAAGCCGATTTGTTGAAGGCAGCGAGCGATGTGGAGATCCTTCGTGCTGTTGCGGCAGCGCTTGCTACTCCAGGGGAGGAGGTGCTCGCTGGAGTCCTGCGCAGCTGTGCATAACCCTGCAAGATTCGCCAACTGTTCCGAAAGTCCCAGAAAAGGTGACAGTTGGATGAAGTATTCATCAGGATTTGTTTCCGCCCCAGTGACTCTTACAAGTACAGTTTTGGTATTAATGATGATATTCCATTGTTTTGCGGTACTTTGGTGTAATGGTAGTTCTTTTATATATGTGAGAAGCTTCCCGAGTTGTGTAGACTTCAAAACTTAAGAGTTTGCCATCGGATCCTTTGTGGGTCTCACTGCCTGGAAGCTGCAAAAAGTCTTTTGTTTTCTTGCAACAAACAAAAACTACATATGAATTCAGATCCACTCATGGCTCATGATAAAAAAGAAACAGTTAAAATTACTTTGCTTCGTGTGATCCCCACCATGACATTTATACATTTTCTTACTGGCAAATCTTCTGGCATTCTATCTGACATATCTTCTGACATTCTATTTGGCATTCTATCTGGCATATCTTCTGGCATATCTTCTGGCATTCTATCTGGCAAATCTTCTGGCATTCTATCTGGCATATCTTCTGGCACTCTATCTGACATATCTTCTGGCATTCAATCTGGCATTCTATCTGGCATATCTATCTGGCATATCTTCTGGCATATTTTCTGGCATTCTATCTGGCAAATCTTCTGGCATTCTATCTGGCATTCTATCTGGCATATCTTCTTGCATATTATCTGGCATTCTATCTGGCATAT